AGACAGAAGTAATCTTTGCGATTGACTCAGCGTCTTTGCGTGATTGTCTAAAGAAACCACGGCAAAGTTAAGCCAGCCTCAACTACACCAAAATGGAGCATTTACCTGCACCCTGCAGATTGTCTCCCGCCTGTGCCCGTAGGCTGGAGGCGACGCTGTGGCCTTAGAGGTGATAAATGAACACGGGTGTATCAATAATCCACACCTTTTAAAGTAAAGACTTGGGCTCGCGCTTTCTGTTGTGGCCTGTGAGCATTGCAAGGTCGTGCATATAAGAGTCAGCTACGAGGCATGATTCCGTCGACACGTTCTCTTTCCTTGACTGATTACCCTGAGTACACTCCATTAAAGCCTGCTTCACAAGGCATAGTTCTGTCTTACCGGCTAACTGAACGGTAACTGCTGGTATATTCAACGGGAAACTGTAATGAACGCAATTACGGTCGTTCCCCCACAGAGCCACGAAAATGGTGCGACAATTCATTGAGGCCTTCCAATCAATACACTGAGGCATCATACATGACACAGTTCACATGCGCTGCTACACCTACAAGTTATTGACCTGCCTGTAGTGAATTATGTACTACAATCCCGGCTGTAATTGCAAGCTGTGCACCTACTCATGCCGGTGCCTTCTTTTGCTCTTACTGCGGAAGAACCTTTCTGCGGGGCTTTAGGATCTTAAATTTCATCAATTAAATTCAGAGGAATATGTTTAGTTTCAATAATTAGTGCAGAAATACATGTTATGCTTTGTTGATTATATCCGATTTCGGTGTGGAGTCTTGGTCTAAAAATTCAGACATTAGTCTTTGCAGGTGTGCTAGGAATAAAGATCTAACCGGCCTCAAATGTTCGGCTGCCACGTTAGTCATTCCCCAAAATTATGCTTGAGAGCGCAGACGTTTGCCTCTTTGGGGAATACAACACCTCTCACACCCAAGCACCACACCTTTTAAGAAGATCAGGCTGTCTGCGGCTCTCAGAAGCAGAGGAACTCCCTTCTGTTCTACGCTTCGAGATGCTTCAACAGCATGCTGTGCGGCGATAGTTGTATTTGGCCTTATCTTGCACATTCTGCGCATTGTATGGCTCGTGGCTTCTTGCGAAAATAGTAAGTTGATCGAGAAGCTGTCTAGAGTCCAATGCAGCCTGCTGGGGGGTCACAAACGATGCTCCTTTTTTTAAAAAAAACTCTATCATTACTCATTTATTCCAATAGTGCGGGAGCACAAGGAATAACAAAGGCGCTTAGAGACGCTGTTTAGCCCCACCTCGCAAATGCCTCCATCTGAGACCTCCAGAGGGACACATTTAACACGGACTCGATTAAAAAAAGGCAACTGTTGAGGTTTTCTCAATAGGGCACCCTCATTCCCCACACGCGCCTTGCAGGGTTTTAGCATGAGGGGTGAAAGAGAGCAATGGTACGCTTAGCTGCACCTGAGAACTTCGGGAATTACAGTTGCACGAAGCATCTAGTGCACAAGCACACAGCATTGCATCTTGATGTACTGAGCTATTGCTGGTCTGCAGTAAATAAGACAAACGAATAGACAAATTAATAATTCACTTTTTACTAACTCATAGAGAAGTGTAACTAGTACAGTAGAAAATATCTAGGTGTAGCCTAGCCAGCTACACCTCCCCGTCCAGGCCTGAAGACCAACACCATCGTGTTCCGTACATGCCAATCACGCGCAAGTTAGTAAGTGATTTTCCGCCCTGTTGCCAATCCCTCAGCAGCCAAAAACCAAATACTGTGCAACTGAAAACTCCACATTGAGCATCATCCAGTATAGAAAACTCGATGAGAAGAAGGCTATACACATAAACCAGCGTATGACTAGGGGCCAAACCAACATAAACTTGACCGCCCGATGACTCGCTGCCGTCGGAGCGCTCAAATGCATAAGGCCTCTGCTGAGAGAAAACAGGAGAGAGAGTAAAATATGACAAGGAAATTTGAATAAACACCAGTCCAGCAGTGCCTCCGTATGCTAATACAGCCGGTGCATGCAGGATGGGCGAAAGTTAAAGCGCCAAAAGAGGCGTAAAACATATCGTAAAGATAGTAGATCTGTAGCTACCTGCGCATAAGTCTTTCTCAGAAACAACGTAGTAAAATTGACCAGAAAAGTTTAAGGCAATACCCAGAGGTGAAGGTATTCGTCTACGTAGAGAACATGCGTTGATGACTGGCGATTTCCAATTATTGCCAGGAATACCCTCCATGGCGACTAGCGTTGAGAGCGACACAAAGCTGGAAACCCTTTTCAGGCAATGAGGCATGCAGCTGCTGCTTCGTTAACGTATAGGACTAAGCTCTTTAGCCCATTTATTAAGAAACCTCCGTTCGTGTGTCACCAGAGCTCAGAAGTCCTAGGATCCAGCACCCATATGGTTCAGTGTGGATCATGCGTCTCGACGCATGCCATCTTTCGCAGTGGCAGAATATTTGAGGAAGTTTGAAAATATCTTCGAGAATTAATGTTGATAACGCTGTGTTGCATCCTCTTGCCGTGTCAGGATTCAGGAAAACAAGACATCCAGCCGCTTTCGCAGCTATTAGTGACCAGGGAACCGCTGCGTACAACCATTCAGTGCTTTAAATGAAACGGTTCATCTAAGGTCTCCATAGGGAGATACTTATATCCGGACATAACAAAGATTCAATAGAAACTTTTGAATTTTTTCTTAAAAAGCTTCCCCTTTCCTCTGCACGCACCTCACAGTGTATCGACATGACGGGAGAATGACAGCAAGGGTGCGCTTAGCTGCACCTCTAAGAACCCTTAGCACTCGCAGGTAGTCGAACAAATCATCTGCTGCACAAACACCTAGATAAATAGTATGCTAAAAGCTTTAATAGAGTAGCGTAGCCCGCTGCATGCAGGAGCAGGCCAGTCGATCGTCAGAGACTGGAGAGAGAGAAGAATCTCTCAGGCCGTCCAAGTGAAGTATCTACACGAGTTCATAGAACAAGAATTAAAATTAGTTTTTGCTGAATGTATAGTTTGCAAGACTATTCAGGATGATCGAACAGAGTAGTCATGCATTCGTGGATCTGGGTTATCCACACACGCTCATTCAACTAGCATTGTAGGTGCTTGATACTCCTCCACGTTTAGAAGGCTAGAAGCACCACTAAGACCTATCAGTAGATGCCAATTCAATAACGAGCTGTCGTTGGCCCGGGTCTTTGGAAAAAGGCGGTTAAATAGGGGAGGAGCTAGCTGGCCTCGAGCGTTGGAGCATGTCCGAGGTGCGGTAGAGCCTCCGTTTTGACTATCCCTGTTGCTCACAAGCCTGTCTAGTACTGGCCATTAGGGGCTGGCCCAGCAGGTGCTTGCTTCCCCAGCCAGACGCAAATAATTGACAAGTAAGCTTTTGTTGATTGGTTATGCTCCAGTTCGGCCCACATTCAAGATCAATTTACCTGTAAGCTTCAAAATGGAGGAGTAGCAGCACTTATGGCAAAATATAAAACAACTTAATCTACCAGAGCTACCCGATTCACGCACAATTCTTATTCGCTAATGATTTAGATGCTGATGCATCTGGATTTACCTCTCATGGGGCTGAGGGTCATGGTTGACTTTAGGAGCTCAAAACACCTGGCATTTTACGTGTTACTGCTGAAAGTACCCTATAATATGCAAAGAAAGAGGCTAGGCGCGCAATAATACCTTTACTTTACTGCATCAAGTGTAGCGTAGCCCTCCACACTCTGCAGTGCAAGCGCTCTGCATTTTGTGTATATCTTATGTTCCCCCCAGCTATATTAGCTTATATATTGCTCAAACGCTTTATATAGGCATCTGCGGTAAATTATTGTGTGCCGCTGAGTGCGAGTGCCCAAAGTGCTTGCACGGTGGAGCTATCCTCACACGCGTTGTTTTCTCCTCAAAGGCGGGAACCTGCGGTGTGGGAGTGCGAGGGTGGGAAACTCTTGAATGGGATTCATAAATCGCTGCTGGCTGCGCTTTGATATGACTTAGGGCTTAGCTCTCCCACATTGAAAATGAGACCACAGGAGAAGCGTAACGCCCAGTGGGTCTAAACTAATTGAGCCGCTCACACTTTACCCTGTGCATTCGCGTGCAACATATGCACAGGTCTGACCTTCTAATGGATTCTTAGCTACATTTAGCTGCTGAGTAAGGTATGCTGCTGTTCAGGGAAGTTATGACGTGCGCTGCAGCCCACGCCTGAGTGGGTGGGAGACTGCGCAGCTCACGGCTAGTGCAATGTGTATAGCACAGCAGCGAGGATAAGCGAACCGCACCTAGAAAGTGCGTCTTAGTCACCAGAAATTAAATCCCGCCATAAAATCGCATCAGGAGTGCGTCGTACTTGCTGCAGTGCGTAGCAAGTACTGCAGAGCTTGCACCGGGCCCACTGCTCAACAAAAGGCTGGTACAGAACCCGCCCAAGATATGCAATAGCCAGCCCAAAATATCGCTTAAAGTCTGGCATTGGATGAAGAAACTGTTTCAGCAGGCAGAGCTGGCTTATTTCATATTGAGACAACTCAGGGTGACCTCGGAACCGACTCCAGTGGGGCTTCCGACCGGAGCGGCTGGCAATGGCTTACAAATTCCTTGGTATGGATAGCAGCATAATTGGCCTACAAAAGTAATAGATTGAATGATCTGGTTTCTAGCTGCTTGGGAATGGCTGTGCTGACGTTAAGACGGGCATTTGTAGCTGCTTTCTACAGTTCGAATTGCACTGCTTGAGCATCTCAACACCCCTGCGAGCCTAATACACTGTAGGCTCCCCCATTAAAAAAATCCTTAGTAAAAAAGAAGAGGTTTTTAATGGGCTACCCTGCTGCTTGTGCTCATCAGGACCTCTTTTCGTGGGTCTGCAAATCAGAAGTCTTTAAAACCCTTGAGGGGACTCTTCCGAGCAGTTCCAAAGAACACACCCCAATAGGTGCTTATAGCCCGATATTTGAACAGGATTGCTCTCACGGAATGGCCGTTGGAGCAACAATGGGGCAAAGCAGAAAAAGTAGTGTCGTCACAGATAGGTCGTCTGGGAACTTCGGCGACCAGCCTTTGTCTCCACCAGACACGCCATGCCCTCCCTTTACAAGGAAATATGGTGACGCAAATCATAGCATTCCGAAAGATTACACAGAGGCTGGCCGCTTTATTCCACCTTGGGAAGCTGCGAAGCAAATTGCACTTTCCCCTGGGGAGCTGTCAGTGGACAACTGGCAGGTAAACTACGACCCGCATGCTCCTGATCTTGAGGCCACTTGGAACCCTTATGCAGGGCTACACCTCAGAAGTCCTTCACATTGTGAGACTCATGGAATGCAACAAATCAACGCTAGCATTTATCATTTAGGAGATGTCAGAGCTCAAACTTCGGAGCAAAAGCAAACAAGCAAATATGAGCTCTCTGACCCTGGCCTGCATAAGGCTCGACCAAACAGCAGCACTCCTAATACAATGCACCTGCTAAGTGGGATTAGCTGTGTTGGAGCTCCTTCACCCTTGCTGCAGAAAATCCCCGTAGTGCGACCGCAGCAAATGGTGCATCTCTGTATCATGACACTAGCAAGTGTGGGGTATGTGCTGATCCTCACAGAACAAATAGGGCTGACACATCTCGTGGCTTCCAATCCACTCGATCAACTCTCGATGCCGATGGCAGCCTGTGCAGCTGTTTGCTTGGCATATACGTGCTATGTTACCGTGCTCCAATGCATAGGGGTCAAAATCGAGGAAGCAGGTACTAGCGCTCTTCTGGAGATAAAACACCCTTCCTCGGACTTTTCGTCTACATGTTCGCCTATCCATGGCCTAAAGTCTGTGCAAAGGTCGCAAGAGCTACAAAAGCGGTTTACGTCAGATGTTCTGAGAGCGTTGGCTAGTTGCGTATTATGCGATATGTTGCGAACTGATACACCACTCTGGCCACTGCTAAACATGCCTTTAAATGCCAGCAATAAACCACTCGCTGATCCGCCAGTGTTTGCACCTTCACCCCGGGGTGCATTAATTGGCATTTTCGGATACCCCCCGCGCCACGCAGAAGGGCAAGCACGCTTTTCCTACTTACTACGGCTGCGCCACATCCTTCTCCCAATCATGGCAGATGGAGCACGCATCGTAGGCTTGTGGTTTGCCTTTAAGGCTCTACGCCAGATTCATGGAACGGAATCAGCTCAGAATTATCCGCGTCAAGTGAAACACTGTCGTGCCCGTCAAGGCCACATGATGGTCCTAGTACTTGCTGCTGTCTTGATAGCTTCTGTCATATTTTGTCAGGCATTTTGGAGCTCAGCTTGCTTCGATTCTTTAAGAGACCTGTTTCCGCCTGTGGGGGAACGGGCTGCGTTTCTTGCTGGCCTTCTTTTGCGCGCTCACGCTATTCTTCTCGCAATAGTCGCTGCTCTCAGCGGCTGTGTTTTAGCTGCAGCTTTTGGTCGCCTTTCTCACAGGCAGTCAGTTACCTTGTCCAAACTTTTTGGAGTTGTATCGTCTCTTTCCTTCTTATGCTACGTTCTTTTTGACGTCTTCATTGCAGCAGCTCCCTCTTTACGCCATGGTTGTGCACCCGATTCAGGATCAGCAGAAATGCACAGCGGTTTTTCAGCCATCAAGGCGTTCGCTACAGCAGCAACGGTAGCTCATTTGCTGGCTCAGTTGTGCCTCAGCTTGAGCGTAATTACCTTTGGGTTCAAGGATGCGCTTGTGAATGTTGCATCTAATATTCAAAGCAGAAACGAAGCACATTGCTTGGGGTTCGTAAACAGACCAACTGAAGGGAACTAGCTATTTAAGGAAGACGTACGCAATGCTGTAAAACATAGCATCTTTGTAAGATTTGTTGCGAGTTTTGTACCTTTGAGCTCTAGAGAACGTAAATGTCACCGAATCAAGATGTAGTAGAATCGTGAACTTCTCCTACCAAGATTGTTTCACCTTGGCTGTTTGGAATCCACCTAATGATGCGGCTGATACTCAGGAATTCTTTAAAGGAGTTGCTTGCAGCCACCTAAAATATAGTGCTGCCAATGGAACATGTGCAGCTAGCTTCATGAGTGTTTTCAGTCTTTGTTCTCATGTTAGCAACACAGCACCTCACCAAACAAGCATTAATCATATAGACGTAGTGAGCTAACTTAAACAAGCCTTTTGAAAGAAGAGTTTGGAAGCGAGCCTCATAGCAAGCCCAAGTAGGCTGTGCGCTTTCGAGCCCAGGGCATACATTTAATTTCCAGACCCTAATTACACGCTAAACCGGCGTAAGAAAACCCTTTTTCGGTGTTGACCAGTAGCGTACTGTATGTTCTAGTCTTGCTGCTAATATACCAATCGACTTCATAAAGTCATCGACAAATTTGAGTTTGACGGGCTAAAGATGCCATTAAGTAGTGAAGAGAAGGCCAAAAGTCAAATTAGCTGTACAGGCATCAATTTTCTAGCTTGCATGACAGATCATTCGCTGTGACAATTATTGGTATGCATACCCCTGTGCAAAGCCCTCTTAGCTGATCTCTTTGCTTACAGACCGCTTTTTTCATGGTTGGAGGTGTGTAAGCCTTGCAAAGTATTCTACAGGCTATCTTCTGTAAACTCGACTCAGCTTCCGCAAGCCTCGAAGTGAACATTTCAGAATCTCGCTGTAGTGCAGGCAGTGCCTTTTCTCGCACAGTTAGGGAAGAATAACTAACGAGGCGAAGCCCTTACCCCTAAAGTTTTTCCTTGTGAGGCTGTCGTGTCACGTCTGGTACAGATAGCTTCGAACTGCTATTATTTCGGCGAACACCGAAATTCCAGTGCGGGGCTATGAGTGAGCTTGCCCCATTGGCTGTACAAGTTTCACTCTCAACCGTTAGCCTTGTTTTGCAAAGTTAAGCTCTGGGCCACCTTTTCGGATCTCTCTAGGCACGCTGTTCATGAACCCCCCGAACACATCGTTCTCAAGCGCTCTAGGGAGCCACGCAAGCAAGAGGTGAGATGTGCTCCTCATCGCGCATCTTTGGTCGTTACAAAATATTTGTGTTACACGACGAAGCACACAAAGGTTTACTTGTATGGCTTTGAAATCTGGTGGTGCTGCAAGAGAGTATACCCCATTGTGTTTGCCTCTACTCATACAGCATTAAGTCGCCATCCTTCCACAGTTCATATTGAGTGTAAGTACTTTGGATATCTTTGGATATCTTTGGACACAACTTACGCCCGCTTGTAAGCTCATTAGTATGCTTAAATACCATAACGAATGATGCTGATAATTGCTATATGCAGATTCTGACCTTTTGACTTCTTCGAGCTGCGCCATTTTCATGCAAAAACGTAATGGAGGAGTAATATTATCATCGAAGTGCCAGGAAGGATCAGGCGTAACAGCTGGTAGAACTTTTAGTAATCCTCAGTCTACTTGCACATTGGAGCATTGGGTAGCAAACAACTTACAATGACATAATGCAAGGAAAAAAGGACAAAAACTCCTCGAGGACACGCGAGTTAGGGTAGGGAACAAAATTCAGCAAGCACAGGCGGGTAGCGGCCTCGCTTAATTTCTATGAATCGTTGGCAACACAAAAACAGCAGCACAAAAAGCCGCATTATAAGCTCAGAACAGGCCTAAGTAGCATTCGTCTTAACCGTGAACGGTCGAACTCTGGCAGATAAAATTCATGCTAAGAGTCTCCGCATTGAAGTAAAGAAGTATATTTAAAGATTGACCTTAGCCACATTGCGCCGCTGTGGAACTTTGCTTCACGGCCCTCACTGTCCAAGGGGCTTTAGAGCCCTTTGCCCCTTGAGCGAACAGAGCATGATGATCATGTGCCAAATTTATGAGAATTACCCACATTTAGCTTCCTGGGCAAGCAGTGCCGGTCAATATTGGTGGGTAACTCAATGGGCTTAGGTCTCCCAAGAAGAAGCTTTGAGAAGCTTCGGCTTTTCGTCCATGTATAACGTCTGCTTTTGTTGGCCGCAGGCCCATACTAGCTCTCCACATTAGTTCTTTAAGAATCCGTTTGCGCTTTTTATGAAATTTACATCAAAAGCAGAGATATACAGTGGCTTCAACCAGTGTGGTGCAAGAAGAGGAGAAATTAACAATTTTGTCCTCTTCCTGGGATTCCGCAGCTACCTCAGCCTATTCGCATTATTGCTTCTGTTTCTGTGTCCAGGATTCCTGGGTGTTTGGCCTTTATCTATGCTATCAAAGTACAATATCAGTGAAAATATACTTGCAATGGATGAGATGATTCATAGGAACTTGCAAGCATTTAAGTGGCAATTGATGAGCCTTACGTACAATGGGAGTTGCACTATGTATCGCAAATTTACGTGCACTTTAAAGTCCACCTACCTGCGAACAATTTAGAACCTCGTGCAAAGTACTAATTCGAGGAGCCACGAAACTGTGCCCCAGCATGTATTTTGCCGTTTGTCGACATGGCTGCAGTTCTACTTGAAAGTTTTTAGTAAATGTGGCGAGCAAATGAGTGTTTCTCTGCCAAAATCATTGATAGATCTACAGGGTGTCGCACAGTTGTCTTAACCAAGAGTTGCAACCTCTTGAGAGAGACCAATCGTTGACTGCAAGGTTTACATGGACAAGAAAGGAGCTACAGGGCTCTAGTTCCGTGTGTCAGCTTGCTGTATCAGGTAAATGGGCTCGAGACAGCCTGGAGATCGGCAGCTATCGCATGCGTGGTTCACTGTTGCCCCGCCGGTCAGGAAATTACAGTGTGCGGCCCAGTTAATTTGGGATAGTATCTTGTGTACAGAAGCCTATTGTTTAGCTGTTATAGTTTAACACCTTTGAATTGCCCTAAATTACTAAAGATACGCCACACAATCCACTCCAGTAGGCAAAGAAGCAGTTTTGCAGCAGATTCATCTAGTCAGGTTTGCATTGCCATAGATGTCTATTGTGGAAGATTATTGAAAATCTACTTTTTCAAAGCCACATTAGCAATTTAATAAACTCGGGAGAAAATTGGCCTTATCTTGCTGTATATACTGAATACGAGCTAAAGGTTTCTCTGGAGCTCTCTGCACAGCTCTAACTAACGTTTGGGAAGCTAACTGAAATTAGTTTGCGGCCCCCTGGCTTTCTCTGACTTCGTCTGCCAGCACCGGGCCAAAAAACAGCTAACGTGTTTACCAGTTACACATAAGACAAAGAGGAGGTAATTAATTCGACTTTGGATACCGAGTACGCGGAGAGACTAGTTTACTCGCTCTGTCCTGCCTGAGATATGGACAACACTTTCTCTAGTTTCCGGAAGCGATTCTTGACACCTGGACTACGAGGAGGCCAACATGTGGTGCTAGGAATGTTTCTTATTCGTTCGCTACCTTAAAAATTCTCGAGAACCACGGCACCCATTTTCGGTCCATTTCCGCACAGCCAACGTGTTTCGTCACTTTGAACTACCACGCATTCGTAAAATGCAAGACAGGATCTGGGAGCTCCAACCTGCCCATTGCAGCTCATTTTAAAGCACACAAGATCCCTTTGGTTGTGGTTTTCAAATAATGTCCAGCAGATGCCTAAAACAGTGTGCAGCTCCCGGTTCAAGGTACCGTGAAGAATCAGGTAGGAAGTGCGTGTCACAAGCTTCACAACATGCGTGAGTTCCCTCGCTCTGACATCGCATATTAGTTAATTACACAACCAGCTAAAATGCATACCCATTCACATGTACCAGAACAGCTGTACAGATATATTCTTGCAATGCCGTAGCGAGGCTTATCTACTGAGGCTTCCTCAAATTTGGCAACATTTGACACCTAGTCCTAGCAAGTGAAGCGTTTGCATATGTGGGTGCCTACTTCCCCTATAAAGATAGCTGACTCTTTTTGGCCCTCAACAGTATCCTCGTTTAGGCAGACTCAAATCACAGGCTGTAAGAACATTTGGAGAATGTATCTGATATGTAGCACAGGCTGTTTATTTGCTCTGGATCCTAAGAGGTTGAGACGCATGCATACGGAGTGCTTCAAGGATGCCATAAGGCAGGAAAGACGTAGCATCCCCTTCCGCAGGCCATTCGATCCCTAGAACCACGAAACTTGTGTAACATGAAGCTATACTGGTGACTCACTAAATTTTTATTTTCGGCGAAAGTGGAACTATTAGTCTACCGGACTTCTTGACTTCTGCTACTTTTCTTGCTTCTAAAGTGAACAGCTGAACACGGAAAAAATGGTGGCTATACCCATTGGGCCTGTCCAGCACAAATAGACCAGTCAGTCCAGCTTTCTTATGCATGTGTTACTTGGGCCAGCTGGATGATCTGGATCGTCGATATGTCCAAAAATTCGTTTGCTGCTCCTCGTAGGGCCACAGCAGCACGGCTATTAACAAAAACACCATATCAAAGGCAGGGAAATTTTCCAAACTACCCCGTCGAACGAATTCCTTGTCCTCTCTGCTATTAGCCCACAAGGTCTCGGCAAGACCGGAGGAGATGCCTGGGGTGCGCATTTGTGCGCCATCTGGTCCCTCCGTGCATTTGCGCACATTCGCACATAGTAGCTTTGTGCACAAGGGCACACCCTTAATTTTATATTTTGAAGCTAACTTTTCCATGAAGTAAATTGCACACAGGAACCGTGAAAGCTTGCTCTTAATATCAGAGTACACCGTCTGCAAGTTGTATTACACTGCTGATATTCCTCAAGCATAACAAAGCCCGCTGCACCTCAAATAAAATCCAGCTTGAGCACAGCAGTGGAGCTTACTAGTGACGGCTCGTGCCTTCATAACGGAAAACAGTGTCGCTACATCCCTTTAAGCCATATCCCCTGGGATGGCTTGCTGCCCACGATTATTCATGTTCCTCCATACTCCCTTCCTTGTGGGCGTTATCTTCTAACCTACCATCACATGCGGTTCCGATCGACGTAACTTTTCATTCCTGATAGGGCAGTTGCATTTTTTGCTGGAAAGGACTTTTTCATTATGACCTCAGAATTGATAATTGCGTCGAGAGAAAATAGTGACCACTGGAAGTCACGGGAAAAGCTTGCATTGAGTATGCTCTAGGAAACCGTCGCTTTTGTTGCCTTGAAGACATGTTTACGCAATTCCACACGGCAGTGTCGGACCAAACAAGTCGAGACAAGAAGAGTTGTATGCCTCATTGATCAGGCCTCTCACTGCTGGCGATGAGCCAAAGCACGTCGGGCCGCCAATTTCTGTTTCAACTTCCGAAATAAATGCTCATTGCTCTGCATCATGAGCACATGAAACGCAGCTTATATCACATGCAGAGTTCGAAAGTCGATTACTAATTTCCCAAGTTGTTTCGCTTTTTGCCACTGAGTGTGATGCACTAGCTGAACGGGACAATACTGATAAGAATGTTCACTCAACATAAATCGTTCTTTTCTTATTGTACCCATGCGTGTAAACAGTCGTGCATCGACTTCCTTGTGCAATGCTATACACCACACATGACTGGAAGCTCAGTCAGCAGAAGGTACCTGATGCAAAGTTCCCAATATATTTGGCAGACAATGCTGCACCTGCACCGTTGTATGCAGCTGCCTGTCATTCTCTTGCTGGCAAAGCTTCAGCAAGTGCTGCTTTTCTTCCTTTAATGGTGGGATGACCCCCTGCACGTGGATTTGTTGGAGATTCAATCTTTCTTCCGCATGCCTGATCAGTGTTCCTGCAGCATCGGCAGCCGCTACGGCCGCGGAAGCACAGGAGCTGACTTGTAGGTGAAGGAGAGCCAGAGCCATGTTTGAAAGGACAGCTGCTGCGGCAGCAGCGCATGGAAAGCTGCCTTTATGTGCTACTGTTGTAAGAAGGGCAGCTGCAAGCCGTTTAGCGGCTTCTGTCGCTGCTGCGGCATCAGCGTCTACTATATCCCCAATAGGTACATCTGCTATACAGCCTAGGGTAACGGAAGCTGGCGTCGACGTGATTGCGGTTGTGGATGAAGTCAATAAACCTGGGTCCTCCAACGTTTTTGCACACCCGTATCCTGTGGTGGATTGAGACGGAACGTGTATATCCCGTACTGCCACTCCGCCATGCACACTGTCCGCGGATGATGACTCTGGAGCAACGAGGTGAGTTAGCAGGTGCACATACAACCTAATGCTCCTTTGCAGCAGAAAATACGTTCTGTGGGATTGCTGAGCAACTTCAGTTCCCGCTGTTGGCGCCACACAACCTTGAACTAGGTCCTCTTCCTTTGAGAGTGACGAGTCGAAGTGTTGTACAGCCTGCTTCTGATGGCACTTCAAGGCCAAGCGAAGTGCCGTATCAGCATCCTGTTTTTTCTTTTGTATTTGCCGTAATCTGGATCGCACACATTTACAGTTGGCCTTCGGCTTGCTCGTTCCTCAAATCGGAACAATTGCGTCTATACAGCATGAGGGGTGTCAACAAGCCTGGCTTGTTTCGGCGCGAAAAGTTTATCTATTCCGCGTCTCTGTAAAAGAGCATGACAGTTACAGAGTTCTAGTGCCTACCTTTGAACATGCAGCAAATCTGCAGCTACTGCGTCCCTGTTTGCTGCTCCACAGCAGCTCTCTGAAAATTCCCCATCGTCTGCTGTACTTCGGTCTTTCTCCGGGAAAAGCTGAAGGAGCTCTCCAAAACATTTCTCTGAACTGAACGTAACACCTTTACTACATTAGACAAGTGAATTTGGATGCAGTTGCTAAAGCAGCTTAACTCTCAACGCACTGGTATATTCTTATGTCAATGTTCAATAATAATCGATGTACTATGTGTGGCTCCAAGCTAGGTTTCTCTAGTGCCATTGGTAATAAGCAAAATGCACACACACTTTTCAAGGTCGTTAACCCTCAAAAACGCAGCAGCACGTCGGGCTAGGAGGACGTGTCGCAAGTGCAAAGCTTCCATGTGCTGCTGCCGATTTTCTCCTAGCGGATGCCCTGCGACAGCTGCTGCTGCATCTGCCTGCCGCTGCGCATCTTGCAGAGCTTCCAGTCCTTCTTTACAGTCTGATAGAGCCTACAGGAAGGGAGACATTTGGTTTTGATACTTTCTAAGGAAATCAAGAGCACATCTGGATGCCCTGTGCTACATTTGGTTTTGGCTTCGGTAGTTGCGGATGGCATTGCGGTTGAAAGACGAAATCTGGCTTCGGAGTGAACGTCAAACTTGCTTACTTTCTCATTCTCCCCCATCGCTAGCCAAGCTAAGCTGCGGCCACAAAAGGCCTTCGCAACAACTAGTGGCTGATAGGTGTGAGGCCCTTTCAGGCGCAGGGTTATGCCATAGGCTTCAGCAGCTGCTGCTGGATCTCCTCCAAGCAACAAGCGAGTGGCTTTAGAGTGCAGCCACTCTGGACTAGTTTGCTGCAACCGAGGTAGGTCCCCAGGTTTTTCCCTGCACATAGTGCTGTTACTTATTACTGCTGTTGAGTTGGGGAGGGGCGGCTCTCGAGGGCCCCTAGCTGGAATTCGGTTCGGCCGTCTAGCGCCAAACGAAACGCTAACCGTAGTGCATGACGCCGGCCTACCATGATCTTCTGCTACACAAGCTGAGTTATCTACTGTTTCTGTGCGTCCAGTGTGCGAAGTAGGCTGCTCCGGGGGGCATCGGATAAAAGCTTCACATAAGACGTTGGGTGTCTCTACATTTTGCACGCTTTCCGTAGACTCATTATTGTTTATTTCAGAACTGTCAGCATCATATTTTGTTGCTGGTGGTGGCTGGTTCTTGTGATCGGTCCATTCACAGCCGCTGCGGCTGTTCTCAATGCGTTGGGCATGATAAGCATGCAGCTGCTTCTTCATTGAGGAACTGCTCATTTCATGACTAACATCGGCTTCGGTATATTTTTGACAGCTTGTGGGCTTTTCTACTCGATGATGCGCATACAGACTTGCTCCTTCTGCTGTCGAGCACTCGCTTGACCGTCCGCAGGTTGTTGCTACGTCGTCCTGTAGCTGCTCAAGCACATGGCGCGCCTGCATGGCCTTTTGATGCTCATGCCATTCACGCTGCTCCTTCCGCTGCTTCCACACACGTCTTTGTTGCTCTTCTTTCCGAGTATGACGGGCAGCGCTACGCTTTTGTTGCTGTTGCTCCTGCCATTCGGTGTAGGCAGCTACGGCAATACGTCTCCGTTCTCTTATCTCGTGCTGCTGTAAGGCCGGGTTGCTAACTGCTGAGACAGAGCCCCAAAAACCTTCATGAAGCTTGGGCACCATAATGGAGAGACTGTCAGTTCCTGGTGTAACCTTTGCTGATTTATAGTCAACATCACCCCATAGATCAAGCTCAAGTATCCATGGATGACGACATACGCGTAAGTAGCAGCTGGCAAGAGTTATTGATAGAGTAGGGCATTGCTGCTGCTGCTTCAGGTCGGCCTTTAGAGACGGGATGCGAAGATGCAAGGACAAGTGCGTGGCTGTCTGCGACCAATCGTAAGCAATCGTGTTGGGCATTGTTTTGGCCGCTAGGAATAGCGGGGAGTTGCCTGCCAGATATAAGGGATGGATCTGCTGGTTCTACTTGGTGCGCAGAAGCTCTGCTGGCTTATTAGCAAGTTAACGCCCTCACTATGATCAGTTTGACCGAAGGCTGCCAAGCTCTCAGAGACGTTGAAAATTTCAGGGCAGTCAGAAGGCTGGTAAATTTTCACCAGACTCGCAATCTCAGGAGAGAGGAAGTGCTGAAGTTATTGGTAATGATGAATGCAAGGCAAAACGATTAAGAAAGTCAGCTCATGCTTCAAGGAAACGGTCTCGGCCACAGTACAGGGACGAAAAAGCACAATTTCTACTCGAGATGAGCTATACAAAGTTGTTTTCAAAAAAGAAAGTATTGATAGGTCGAAGAAGCCTTGGAATATAACGGTTGGTGAATTCAGAAAGTCATCCAACATAGAGAACTCTGCTTGCTCGCGTTGGTGACTATTGCACTGGCTTTGGCCTTCTCCAGTTCTGGAAAGCTTATTTCAACAAAGACATCTCGGTGGAAATCGGCTAATTCGTCTATTGCTGCTTTTAGGCCGTATTTCTTACAATAAGTGATACGCTTGCTTTACTCATTGCCTAAACACTTGGGGTAAGCGCCGAAACGAGTGAAAAGAGGCCAGCGGCCCTTCATCTAAATTCTATGCGTTGCATGACTTCTGATATCCAGTACGGAGTTACTCTAGCAATCTGGCCTGGCTTTTCCAAGAGGAAATATAATGTATTTGTGCCTCAAAGCCTCTTTCTATTGTTGATGCACAACGAGGGCTCAATTCTTGAGGGCTCGTGCCAGGACAATGCATGAGCTTACACAATGTTACTTTCACCTGATGTATCTGCAATGATATTTTAAAAAAATTTGCAGCATATTGCCTTCGATAATTGACGTGGTCCTTCAGGGCGACTGCGCATGCCAGCTCGTGGCCCCTCGTGGGGGTGGCGTTCTCTGATGTGGTGGGCTAGCAGCCCTGATGTGCTGTCCACAAACGAGCAGGCCATAGCTCTCCAGTTGACGCAGCTTGAAGTTAATGAAATTTGCAGCAGGAGTTTCCTAGTGAGATCATGCACATTCACCTTGCTGGCCCAGCCAATAACGGTGCACTCTCCACCACTGCGCAGGTTTGCCACCCGGTAGTACGAAAGGGAATACAAAATCCAGCGAGAGCTAATATTAATGCACCCAGTAGACAAATCGCAAGGGCTCTTTCCTACAGATTAGGAAACTAATCTTCAAGTGAGCTGCAGCGAAAGTTGTACCCTTTGGTCACTCTCCAAAGCCCGAATGAGCTGTAGTGCGGAATGAGTTCCGATAGAGGTAATCAAATACTGCAAAAATTAAGTATTTGCTTTGAAATACCCCGCCTCAGTTACTTTTCGTGAACTTATCAGTCGTGTGTCAGGCATCCCACAGCAGCCTCAAGCAGATGCATGGGTAGGCGCGCCAATGCATTCACAGTGCTAAAAGCTTTGATGCGTTAACGGCCCGAAAGGCCATTCTCCTTCCAACTATCAGAAATCAATGCTTGAACCTCACGAAATGCATAGAATGCACAAACACTAAACATTTTGCTATTTGGCAGCAAGTTTAAAGAAAATTAAGTGGATGGATATCTAGTTTGCGGGGTGGACAGCGCCCTGTCCTTTCCTTCCACGAGTTGGCACTGATACCTGCGCAAAAAGGGTCGTTACAGTGTGATGTGGCACACTTCAAGCTACAATGCGGGCGGTCAGCTCTCCCTTGGATAATATTTCGCATCATGATCACAAGTAGTACATGGATCCTGTAATGCTTCATCTAAGGTCTCCATGGGGAGGCACTTAGCAGTAAACTCAATTTAAAGTTAATAATGGGTTTTTTTCCCAAGGAAAGCTTTCCAGTTCTCCCGCCCGTGCCCTTAAGAGCTTCGACAAAAAGGGAGAGGCACCTAGGCCGCGCGCTGTGACACCCCAAAAGCATTTCGAGCGTTCACGGCTCTTTGCACGTAGCATCTAGTGCACAGGCACACAACTTAATGCCTGCTTCTATTGAGATGAATTATCCTGCAGTAAAAAAGATATACAAGCAGACTAACCAATCAGCCACTTCTTCACAAAAAAATGTTGCCATCCTCAGGAAGACGCGTAAAATTAGTATCGATACAGCTATCAGGCCATTGCACCGGCCAGGGGTCAGCATCTCTGCACTATTTTTGGCAGTCTAATGAGTCAATAACAGTGCCGTTAGCACTCCACAAGAGAGGATGGAACCCATATGTGAGCTCAATGAAAATACGAAGACAATATAACTAGTGCCTATATTATCAGTTGGGGTGTGCCACCCTTTAACGTAAAGATGACAAATGCACGAAGAGTTGACAGTCCATCCTTGCTGCGACCGTTTCTTTTTGCCAGGCGAAAATTCAAGCCTCCTAGTTAATGTGACAAAGTCAATGCGTCTCCTATGTTTTTGATAGGTCAAATAATTATGGACGGTGCTTTTTGCCACTAAACCAAATAAGAAAAACAGCTTGCTACTCGCATTCATTATGGATTGTATATCTTTATAGCGGCCACACCTGCCCCTACCTAGCCGATCAGGAGCTACACTATAATTGTTTTACACGGTGGATGCAGTATAGAACGAATGGAAATAAAGCGGCCTGTAGTTAGCATTCACTTAGACCAACGCAGACAATTATGCGGCAAGGTTCTCGACGTATTCTCGACTAGCTCAAGATGCCTTGTGAGTCATGTGCTCAAACTTAGATGAAAGCTCATGCCTCGTGACTCTTTACAATTACGAAAGCGGTAATCGTGAGGAACAGTGACTCGATTAATAAACAGAATACATTATGCGTGCCTGGGAGGCATTTCTCACGACCGCAGTGTGTCCCGTCAGCTATAAGTTGACTTTGGGATTCTGTGACGACCAAAACAAATATGATGCAACTAGAAGAACATCATTGCCTTGTGACCAAGGTTAATACGGAGTATCTGCATCAACCAGATATTAATGGCCGAAGGACTTTTAGTTAACCCACAACTGTGAGTGGTGCAAGCAGATATGTCCACATGCACTGTGACGTAAACTAGAGAACAAGTTTACTAGGTGAAAACCGATTACATGGTTGCTGGCACCTGCCTGCAATGCAAATGCTGTGATGGCCCGGTCATCACAGCATGCGTTTTTAAAACATTTGTAGCGGCCTTCTTTGCAGATTCGTTGGCTGCATCGCCCACTAGAGAAAAGCTCTAATACGGGTCTGGTCTAAAAGATCCCAGAATCAACGAGAAGCCAGGTGAAAAAGGACGAGGGGTCTTAAGCCTGTGCATACCTGTGACGTTGCCCCCCTGTGTCTGCAGATCGATGGCTGGAGTGTTCTACGAAGTTGGCCCCCGAAAATGGTCCATCTATTCCCTCGTTACGCGTTGAAATTGATTCTTTACCGCCACGAGCCTTGCTACACCCGCCTCGTTGTTCGGACTTTAGAGCGGCATCAGTGAGCCGCTTTGTAGGGAGCTCCGTAGTGATCCAGGTTGAGGGCGCGTTGCTTGATCTTGGTTGAAATGATGCGGGGTTAAGTCTCCCTGTAAATTTGCCGCAGGCAAACAAGCCGTAACATTTGTTGGGATTGCCACTCTCATAGTGGCGTATTCCTGTAGATCTTGCACGACATAACGCTCACCTGAAGACTGCACATGTGCCACTGCTTGTAGCACCGCTTTCTACTAAATTCCGGCTCATCAAAGGGCACCAGACTTCCCTGAAAACCATAATCGGACGAAAGTGGTGATGTTGCCAGAGTATAAATTCAATGATTGGTGTTTGCTAATAGGGATGGTAGCAAAAGATGCTAAATGAGTAGTGGAGAAAGGGACAGTACTGGTTTTCGCCAAATTGCATTCTCACTTGCAAGTGGCAGGGGGGCCTCCTGATACTCGGTTTTCGGAGAGACCGAGAGCCTTCATCCTTGTAGGGTGTGTATGTTTGCTGAGGCGCCACTTCATACATTACCAAGTATCGTCATTATCCTGCTTATAGGCGCCACCAGCCCAATTAAGTTGTTAAGTATGGCTCGTTGCACCTACTGAGTAATGCTACAAAGGACAGGTGGTATTCTCACATCAAGGCTATCTCCTTGCATTTCGCTCTTCTTCTTCCCTTGGGCGAACTTTTGAGAAGCATTCTCGGTGGGACACAGAGTTGACTGCATCCACATGCAAAGATAGGAAATCTAGCGAAATCGCTTGCCATTTGACCTGTGTAGTGTTTTCACTCTAGGGGATGCTATTTACCACTTACGGGCTCAAGGTGCCCCCGACAAGAAACCTGACACATCACGCTAGTTGTTTTTCTCCTTGGGCACAACGGATCATCGAAATTCCACTTTGGGATCAATCCTGTCTGGACAAACGACACAAAACCAGACTTAGCTCAAATAAGACGCATGTCCTGCTCCTTTAGACAGCCCTTCCACGAACGTATTACAATGGACTTTGGCGAGCAATATCATAGATTTAGGGGGCTTACCCCTAAGCTTTCCTCATTGACTAAACCCCTTGGCTTTCGGGGCTCCGGTAGCTGGTAGTTTAGTACATCAACACCCCAGCGACATGGGTTTTCTGTAGTGTGAACCTGGGAGAGTCGGTGCTGCGTACCACCAACAGGATCCCCTTTCCTTCAGGCCACAAACCCACACATGCCTTGGCACAGTTTGAGCCTAAGAGAGTGTAACCACTCACTAAGGTGCTCAAGTATTTCGTATTTGTTGCTCCAGAGAATAACTTACACATATGAGTGTTGAATGATGTTTTGCATGCCGTGTTGATCACGTGGAAACGTTGACTGCGTTTTGCCACTAGAATGTGGCTTCCATCCATCTGTAAACGAAGTTTCTGGATTAGCGAATCTATGTTCCAAGATAGATCCAAGATATTGCCCTCCAGAAGGTGCTATTTGGCGCCGCAGGCTTTGCACAGACCGGAAGTTGGCACTGTCCAATGAAAGCCCTCGTTCGCCAGATACGTTCAGTACTCCAGGTTCTTCTTGGGCTGAGCCGGAAATGGCAAATGAGATAATATTAAACAATCAGGTGGCGGTAGACAGACTTGCTACCATTGCGCGGACCTGCACTGGGGTGCTGATCGATTTCCTTCAGGATGGTTCAGGGGCAATGTGCTCACTCCTGTCCGTCCAGTTTATAATATCTTGTATTCGGGTGCTAGAGTTACGTCTTTGGAACAGTTCAAGCCTTTTAGAGGTAGGAACCGCCCCGACCTCATCATCAATTCTTCCAAGGAGACGATCGGCAACCTGACAAACACAAACATTGCAAGGTGTCTGATACGATGACTGGTAGACCACAGCCCATAGCGTCTCTTTCTAAAAAAACAAAAGTAATTTTGAGCTCAATGCGTTGACAAATGCCTCACCTGGGAGCTCACGTGAGGCTGTGAGCGCCGAAACGAGCTTTTAACGGCGTCATGTCCCCAGTCTGTCTGCAGCCCAGCAGCGGGTCCTCTGCGCCAAACAAATACGTCTGCTTTCAAGCGGACGTCAAGGTTTTAGGAGGAAGGACAAAATTGGAGTCAAATGAACTAATCGTGACTCTGTTGTAATACCTTCTGATATCGGCTCCCTTTCCACGCGGTTGTAACGTGTTGAGCCGGACTTCTTCTGGTTGCCTGTGGGAGTACATAGGAACGATAACGATCGACAAATAAATCATGGTTGCTGCAGCAATGGTTTTTTGGAATTTGAGCAGTGCAAAACACGGGCCTGCTATCACCTGAGGAGCTCCTCGGTTCTTTTCCCGTGGATCGCCCTCCATCGCTGATTTTCGGCGCAGTCGTTCTTCTCCATTTCCTGGTAAGAGAATGTGTTTTGCACGTCCAGACTTTACTAGGAGTCCAGCAAGCCCTGTTCTATGAGCTGCATGACCTTCCTGCAAGTGGGAATGCTTTCATGCACCAGAAGCAGGTACCTGGACTCTAACCACGCACACCTACGTGCGTGGCTGCCCCTTGTACACCCCAGAAAATCCTTTCCTTTCAGACAGGATTAAGGACAATCACAGACTTCGCTATGTTAGCGTCTTCCCGTTTGCTGTGCTGAGAGTCGATACGTAGGCCATGCAGGAGGCGAAGCGGGAGACTTTCGTGTTTCACTGCTCCGAGCGGGGCACCTTAAGACGCGCAGCGAATTGGAGAAAAGTATTGTCGTTGTGGACAGTGATGACCTTTATTTGAAACCACTGCGTTAAAAAAAAATTATTGACCCTCTGCCGGGACTGCCATGCAAAATGACCGCGGACCAGTACATAGGAAATCGCGGAAGGAGGAACTTAAGACAAGACCATTCCACAAGGCTTCAACCTGCTGCAAACTTTTAAAACCAATGATCCAGACAGTTTAGTTCTTCGAATGAGCAGGAAGGAGAGCCGTTTTTTTGCAAATCTTCCAGATGACCAAGCCAATGGAAGACACATCCAAGAACTTTGCCATCAAGCAGGGGAATGCTGAAGGTCCCTTTCTTCTGATTATCGCAGGATGATAAACTATAAGTATGACAAAGCTGTGAAAAGACACGGTAAGAATGCCATTTTTATCGAACCCAAAGGCGCCAGCGGATCGCGACCTGGTCACCGCCCCGGACTGCCTCAGCAGGACACCAGTATGCCGCTTGCATACTGGCCTCAACCAATGCACTGGATGAAATGTTCTGTATCGAGATAGGAAAAGGTGAGTGCAAATGACACATGCAAATGATCGTTACGTTTAAAACTGTTTCTGCGGGCAGCCTGTACATGGTATGCACAGTAAACGGGCCACAACGCAGTGTTTGAGTGCCCGCTGACATTGAACTTCGGCTCTATTTCGACGTCCGAATAAACCGAGGTTTAAACTTCAGCAGCAATAATACCAAGCTTGTAAAGCATTACAACTCGGCCAAAATGTCTGTTTCGGGTGGCTTCCTAGTCCTGTTACCAGCAAATCCGGAGGCCGTAAAAGGCCTTCCTATATTATTCCTGTGCACTCATCAGTAGAAGAAGAGTAAATTGATGAATGCAAGAGCACACTGATTTCCCCGCACTGGGCCGCAGCAATGGCCTTTGGATGGTTCTGCGGTGTCTGGCGCGCGCGGCGCACACCGTTTGTAGCAGTGTCTCTTTCCATTACAGGGAACCCCCTGAGGTCCTGAGTATCATTGGCGCCCTGCCTTCTTTTGCATACGTGTAACATCAGTCGTGGGCAAATGAATGAAGCTGCTGTATTTACTTCTGTCTACAACACAGTCCGACACAACACGTCCCCGCGAGCCACAATCACGTTTTGGGCAGACCGTGTATATGCTAAAACGCTCTGATACACGTCGCTAATTCAGGAGAGCCTGCTCTCCAGTTGTCATCGAGGTCCTCAGTCAATAGCGATGCCCTCTACTTGAAGGGAATAAAAATTATGCAGCGAAGTCTATGTGCTTTCAGTATGCAATACCTCTAGAGTTTAGGCCCCTATATGACACTCTGTAGCACTGTGCACTGCTAGCTTGTGAGACACGTTATTGTGTAAATGCCGTACTCACTAGTGACGGAATCACTACTAAACGCAGACAGCATCAAAGTAAAAGGTTGGGTGTAATGTTGCTGGGGGCACACCATACATGATAGCTCCCCCTGAGGTGCTCTTTTCGCCAGCTGGTGCCGCCGGTAGCTCAGGTATGGGTGACATTGTACCATATGGTCTGCGCTGATGGATGTTGGACATGAATTAGCCGTCCATGCGTCCTGTCCCGAAGGGGGATCAACCACCAGCTGCACATGCATGTACCCTCGCTGAGCTAAGCCGGACATGCCGATAAACTTGGTGGCTTCCGGGAAATCTACCCTCAAAGAGGGAGTTGTTTGTCTCCATCAAGCACCCACTTTGTGCATTGTTTGAATCCAGGGAGCTGTAATACCCAACATCCAATGGGTGAAAGACGCACAGCCCCCAGAACTTGTGGAAGGAACGAGGCAAAGAGACGCAGGAGGCCATACAGTTGCAGAGGTAGCCCGATTAGAGCATAGCCCAACGCGATCATCAGAACTCCAAGGATATACAGAAGAGAAGCTTTCCACTTATGGGGCTTCAAGACAAAAAATCGAAGCGTTTTCTTGGCGCCGAGTACCAATCCAATACCCGACATAAACGCTAAGTTTCCAAGGGTTAGCAAGGCCCGATCCAGAAAGCACAGCACGCCAACAAATCCCAAGCTGAGTCCCAAGAGACAAAGCCCCACCCCGATTCTCTGTCCGTCACTCAGCATTTTAAGACAGCCCTGTACGAAGTCTTACTGCTTCCGCAGGCAACACCGAGGATAGTATTCCAGAGGCTAAGGATGGGCTTATCATGCAGCGCGCCTTCAGACAGCTATTTAAGTTGGTGGCAAAAATCCATGCTGTAGGGAGCTGCCATAATTATGGCGTCACCGGCTGCAAGGAGTTCACAAGTGCACAAATGCAAAGAGGAAGAGTCTGTTCGCTGAACTCCCAGGAGACTGGGCGTAGAATACTAGAATCCTGTCCTTGGTGATACGAATCGCAATGATGGTGTTTGATATTACAGGAAATCCAAAACCGGAGGCCACAAGGTATATCAAGAAATAGGGCCAATGTGAAGGCTTCCCTCTGCAAAAGGGGCCACAGTTCAGCTGTGGCTTCAGCACAGCAGTTGAACCTAGAGGTAAAAAGACCGCAGAACTTTACACATTAGGAAGGGCGCTTTGAACCTATACAACGTTGGGGCTGATTCTACGCCATCCAGTTTCATGGGGAAAATTATCCAGGGGCTGTGGCTCAGGAGTTGGACACAGGCCAAATGTAGATCACTGCTCTGTCAGAAATTATCCTTCTACTCAGCCTTTCTGTTGGGGACTATATATTGTTTCTTGAACACCTCAACCACACTCACAGACCGGAGCCCCGTGGAGGTTTGAAAGGACAGCCCCAAAAGCATCTCTCGCCTAGCGGGGATGTCCGAATTCTTGCGATTCAAAGCTAACCGAAAACGGAAAAGGTGCTGTGTTGTTGCCCACCCACTAACTAGCTGTTCGTGGAAGTGCCAACATTCTGTGGCCGCCGCATGCGTCAGAAGTGAGGACGCTCTAGAAGCTTGAGTACCGAACACTGGAGAAGAAAAGCTTCTTGGTATGGAGTTGCGCAACTAAATGGGTTTCTGGACAGGGGACTGTGATTGCTGTGAGTGTTCTATCCAACACTAATGATGGTGGTAGACTTGCTGTAGGTGACCTGCATGGGCACTCGCAGTTTACATCGGTCACATCGGGTCCTTTTGGACTTTTGGCGATGCAAAGCACATAGGCTATTGTGGATCGATGAGTTTGTTCCAGGCGTCTATCTCTTAAGGCGACCATGCCACCACACACCGACGCTACGAGCATGGCGGCTCCCGTCGATGCCTCGCAGCAGAAAAATCCATTTCCAGAGTTTCAGGTCAGACTGACGGTCGCCAATACCCCAGGAGAAATTGTGTGTATACTGTTAGTAGCGAATTTTGGTGCGGATAATCTGTAATCTGCGCGAAGCTGGGGGTTTTGGCTGTATTTCCGTGGGTGCACTCGTATGCTCTCCAGGTGGTTGTTCTAGCCGGAGGCAGCGGTTCCCGTCTTTCTTCTCTACTCGATGCACATGGTGCTCCTGGTGCGGCCTCATGCAAGGCATTGCTCCCCGTGGCGAACAGACCCATGATATGGTATTGCCTCAGGAACCTGCAAGAAGCTACATTTGGTGGTACGGTATCACCCTTCCCTTGCGACGACACATGAACCCTGTCCAAATGTGCTGGGTGCTGCGTGTTTTGGTGGTATTCGCTGCCACAGGTTAATGATTGTTCGATGCAAACACGGTGTATTGAGTCGAATCCTTTGTAGAAACTCGTGTTCTCAACTGCACTTAGGCACCCAGAATGTCCTCCAATCCATGTATATAATTTCGTGCATGCTTCAGATGTTATTGTGGTAACACAAGCACAGCAGCAGGCAGAGCTGTCAGCCTACTTGCAGCAGGAGTTCCGCAGCTCTTTTCGACGTCTCGAAGTAGTAGGCCTCAAGTGCACGCGTCGTGGGGAGGATGAAGATGGAGAGGATAGCTCATGTGGGGGGAACAGGCGCCGCTCAGTCGACGCCGCCGACGACCCTGATCAAAGGGTATGCGGAACAGCAGAGGCGTTGCAGCAGATTCGCCATCTCATTACAACCGATTTCATTGTTTTGTCGTGCGACCTTATTGGCCATGTGGACTTTTTCGCGCTAGCAAGTTAGTCATGACAAATCCTAATTGGCAAGGGCCTTAACCGACGCTCCCAGTTTCAGAACATTGTGGTTGTTTGATATGATTTTGACCAAGAAGACGGGAATTTGTACTTCAGTCAGTGCCGCTTGAGGAATGGGATGAGGACTGCCGGGGCACGGCCGGTATCCATAGCCACCTTTTAGAGGGATGAGGCCTACCCTGATCTGGTTTATTGCACAGATAAACATCGTGTTGAGGGCGCAGCCTGTACAGTTTATTTGATGCCGCGCGACCCGTTTGCTGAACCGACGCCTGCGCCGGCGAAAGGGAACGGAGATGGCAAAAAGTCAAAAGGAGCTCAACAAGCAAAGGTAGACACAAGCAGAGGAAACCCTGTGACGGTGGTTTTGGATGACTCACGTGTTCAACTTCTGGCACTTCAGGACAGACACAGTAAGGAGCTGAACCAGGGCACCTGGGAGTCGGCGTAACATGGCAGCTAGACATTTGTTCTTCTGTTTGTTTTTGCTTTTAAAAAACACTCTCTTCCGCCTACGCTTGAGAGGAATTGTTTGATATCTTTGGTGTCTCCCTTTGTGCAGGCATGATCCACGGCAGCTCCTTGCAGGTTTCCAAGCTGCATCTCTTCCTCTACCCGTCTCAGCACCTATTGCCCGAGTACTACGATCCGCATGTCTACGTCTTTGCACATGCCACGCTCAAGATCCTGGACCAGCCTTCCCTGCGTCACAGCCTTTACTCGATTCGTGTAAGCTTGCTTAATTTTAAAACGTCAGGGTTTGGAATATGGAACCACTTCATACCCCATTCTATACGCCTAAGATCTCAGATTCAACTGCGTTCGCTACAACCTTGGTACTTCCAATCCCTGTCTTCTCATTAGGCGTGCGGGTTGGTGATGAAAGTAGCACTGAATTTACTGTTGAAGCTAAGCCAACGGCTCCTAAGCGCCTTTGCTAATCTGCATGGTTGCTCGCAGTTTGACCTCGTACCATACATGATCACTATGCAGATGACCCACGCAGCACAAGGTAAAATTGTCTTTAGCTACTTCCTGGTGAAAGTGAGCTCATTTGACAGGATGTGCAGCGCAATGGTAGAGACTCCTTGATACAGCTCAGGTGCGATTTACTCTGTGGCTGTTTACATCCTTTGCAGTCTGGTCCGACAGTCGGCTAGAGTGTGACGTGTTTGAGAGGCAGCTGGGAGCTCTTCAGCGTCAAGGAGTGGAAGAGTTTACCTCAACTTCGTTAACGGCCACTTCAGCGACGCACGAATTGCCATCAGAAAGCGGCTTACCAGTCTTATATACTGCAGCCAATCCCCCGCCTCGGCCAGTAGGCATTATCAATGTTCACGGCTGCACAAGTCCTTAATGTCTTACAACTACATACCTGGCTCCATTGTTGGCCTGAGCTTATGGCTTTTCCGGTGGTCGTGCACTCAGAAGTCACTGAATGGTGATTCACTGCTTTTTGTTCTTTCTGGGAGATTTTTTGTACCGCTTTGTTGCAGGCCAAGGGTAACCGAGTAGTTTGTTGTATGCATCCAGACTCTGCGGGGATCTGCTGCCGTGTTAACAACCTTAATGATTACCGCGAGATGAACAACAAGGTAAATACTCTATCCCATCCATACCCCTTCTCTGTTGAATGTCCCAATCGGGTCTCAACACAATGCGGCTACCTACAGTGTATCCAGGCTCTGGTAGTACCTTTCGTTGCATATTGGAACTTCTGCTTCCCGTGTGTACAAGCTTACGCCAAACTTAGTGGCTTTTAAGGCTGTATACTGGTTTTCAGTTCTGTTGCGGCCGGTTGGACGAGTTACGAGCCGTTCTTCCTGACTGGGCCCTTCCCGAACACAACCCTAAGAAGCCTGGCAGCGTGAGACGAGCCTTGGCGGACTTGCCTTTTGCAGCTCATGGTAGTACAGGCTGGCCTACACGGGGCCAGATGCTTTTGTTGCTGCTGTGGACTATGCTGTTGCCAGATGCGCGACTGTGTCCTAGCGGATGGTGCCATGTTGGAGGCAGACGTTGTGGTAAAGAGGAGCGTTGTGGCTAAGGATGCCACGCTGCGCTCGGGCTGCAAGGTGACTCAGTCAATTCTCATGAGCGGAGTAGAGGTTGGACCAAAGGCTGTGCTCCAGCGTGTTATTCTTTGTCCTGGCGCAAAGGTTGGAAAGGACTGCAAAGTGAGCCTTGGAGCATGTATATACGTTGTTCTCTCAACTTACTTGCACCTTGGTATCTTGTCAACTCTACCAGACGAACAGCCGACCTGACCAATAAAGACTTGTAGGTAGTCTCTTGGGTTAGAGTATTATGCAGTGTGTAAAGCTGGCTCTTTCGGAATTTTCGTAGATCGAACTTTATGCGTTTGCCCTCTTGGATGCGATTGCAGCTCGTAAACTGTCAAGTTAGAGGTGGCTTCTGCGTACCAGATGGAACGATTGCGGAGGACACGACTTTACCTTCCTTTACTGATGGAGTGGATTTTACAGCTTTACACCTGTGATTTGCATAGCAATGGTTGCAGTAAAAGCAGATGCTGCAGATACAGCAGTTGAAATGGGGTTACGTGCATGAACGTACGCAGTCGGTGCATCTGCAGCAGTGACAGGTCTTCAGTTTAAGTGATGAGGTGACATCGCAATCCTTTTCGTCGCAATTGTTGATCTAGATGGCATTTGCCGGTGCAGTTCACCGGGTGTTTTTGCACTGTGGCTTTTCAAATACCCGAAGGCCCTAAACGATTGCAGTGTTAAAGGAACTATGAATCCACAAACGCCAGATGATACATGCTGGTTCAAGAGCTGCGATGTTTCCTTGGAGTGAGAGGTTCCGGCCTTCCAGTTGTGTAGTCGTCAATGAAATTTACAAAGCAGCACTGTGCTGCTGTGGGCGGGAATCAAAAGTTGCCCATTCGTCTTTTCCGATATTACACCTATCCCACATCTACTATCTTGGCCTGAAGGCTATGGAGGCGTATCCTGTAGCGCGCCAAGCTACGTTCAAGCACTACGTACAACACCAGTTATATCAATTGAGGATTAATAAAGACTCGTTAGTTTGTGTGCTATTTTGCATAGTACTGTTTGCTAGACAGGGGAAAACCCAGTATTGTAGTGCGTGTGCGGTAAGTGCTATGTGCGACTAGCTGTTGATGCCCAGGATTCTTGAAGGGTGCAGCGATGTGCATTCTAGTTCCAATTCCCTTTTTTAAGGGCCCTGACGGGGTGGCAGTTAGGGGAGGCAAAAAGCTTTTCTGGAGAAGGAATCAATGACTTCCTAGTAAATTTGTATTGAGTCTAGAGTTTAGTGTCTGCCTACGGAGACAGATGGGGGGTTCCGTGTTGGGTAGCAAGGTTCCTGTGGCACATCGCGCACGTCCTGCCGACAGTGAAGTATTCGAGGAGGAACATTTGCCCGGCCACCGAGCAGGATAGACTCCAAACTATGCCCTACACAATGTAGCCTCCAAATTTGTGAAGTGATGTGTAGGAATAACCCAAACAGCAATTATTATTAAAGGCTTCCGTTTGAGCGTGAAGTTCGTGAGTGCACGAACTGTCTTGTGATTCATAGTCGTGACACGAATGCAGGAGAGGGCATAAAGCTCCACTCATAAACTAACACGTTGAAAATGAGGCAGGCACATAGGTTGGCCTGACTGCATGCAGGGCAAATGGTGAATGGAAACGGCTGAGAAATTTCTATGTAATGATGTAATTGCACCCGGAATGCAAACCGCTGGTACTAACTTTTTCGAGAGTTCCAGCTTCGTTTGTTCATAGCCCAACCACGAGAACACTTTCTTTCCTGAGATTGGGACGCGCGGCAGAAGCTTAGCCTTTGTGATTAATGCTCACGAAGAAGCGTCCACGAGCCTGCTCGGCTCGATGGCGGGTGGCGCTGACGCCAGAGACCAGTGAGGCGAAGCCCCAATATCTTCTGTAGCAGAGCGTGCTCGTCTGTGCAATATAAATTGTGGTATATGCACTTTACGAAAAAATAGTAAGTTTGCATTCGTATTCGTTTGCTTTTGAACCTCCGAGACAGCGTTGGCAACCCGTCTAGACCTGAGAATGGCATCTCTGGGATTGAGGATTTTTTCACAAATTACCCCATATATATGCACAAACTTTGCCGCTTAAATCGAGGCATCCGAAATAAACTTCGCAGTCTATCACGATGTATGAAAGTTTATGGCGATTGCAACCTCTCGGCGAAGGGTAATTTGCCAGTATGGCATTGAAGTTGCAAGAAAGAAACGTGGCGTGTGCCTACCCTGTGGTGATCCGTGAACCATCAGCACCTTGATGGTTCCATTAAATTCCTATTGCTTTGTGGAGGATGCCGCGTGTGTCATTATCCGCGAGGACGCCGTGCGCAGTATCCGCTCTGCTGGATGCAAGCCTACCGAAGAGCAATGCAATAAGGAACCTAGTCTTATGGATCGGTTGTTGTTGTTTCTGGGTCGTTCGCTTGTCCTCACTAGGCGTACTCTCTACGTACTTTTATGTGTGACATCAAATGCAACTTCCAGCAGCTATGATTCTGTTGGCGGCGACGACCCGTGTGGCGATGCCGCAGGCTTTGTTTCATGCGGGCCAGAGGCATGGAGGCTCATTGTGTGTCTCAGTACGAAGTTATGGGATCTAGCGCGCAGGCTTGAGGTGCAAACTGTCCCCATCGTGCTTCCCTGGATGGTTCAATCTCAGTCTCCTGCCCATGTAGAAGCAAACGACTGGGCTCCCCACTGGAGCCACTGCGTGCTTAAAGCACGGACAGCTGTGATACGCCACTATGTGTTAACTGCCAGATTGAATCTATGGTGGCCCGCCATGGAAGACGCTGAGCTCGCAACTGCAGTCCCGCTTATTGTGGATGATGGTTCATTTACAGACAAAGAAACCTGCGCTATATGGCCACGGCACTGCCATCTGAGTCCACTCTATACAGATCCGCCTACTTACCACATGAAGGATGCCACACCTGGGATAGTGGTGAATGGCCACAGTTCACATGATGCTGCTTCAACTACGCCCGAGGGAATGTGCAACTACTCGGCCTCGTCGCGGCATGCGATACATGTAAACGGACATATTGCAAAGCAAGAAGATGTTGTAGAGGTCCCCACCGTGACAGCTGGTTTCACAGGATCAGCAGAGGATAAAAAAGATGGCCCTGGCTTCAAGTTCAAGTATACAGTTGTCGCTGGGACATTTGACCGACTGCATGGTGGCCACCAGTTACTGCTGGCTGCGGCAATGTTGGCCTCTAGTGACGCAGTGGGTTTGGCTGTTACCTCTGGCCCTATGCTTGAGAAGAAGGCAGCATCTCCTGAGGATGCGGCAGCAGCCGGCATCGAGCCGTTTGCCTACCGGCTTCACGCTGCGGCTGCCTTCCTGCAGCTCGTTGGAGCCTCTGCAGGTCGTGAGCTTTCTATTAGGGGTTTCAGAGAGGCCATTCAGGAGGAGCATGGAAGCGTGTCTGCCCAACCCCAGTTCAAAGATCCGGATTTGGGATTGCTGAATACGTTTAGTACGGGGTTGGAGGCACTACCACCAGTTGTCGAGTTACATTCATCAACGAGGCGGGCGCAGCTACAGATCTTCAGAATAACGGACCCGGTGGGTCCTGCCGACCGGCTCGCCTTTGACTGCCTGGTAGCTTCGCCAGAGACCCTGAAAGGGGCCCATGCAGTAAACTCTATTCGCAAAAGGCTGGGATACGATCCCGTATTTGTCCTCACGGTGGAAATTGTGCCGATATTCGCCGAGGTTGCTCCACACATTGCTGCAACACTTACGGCAAGCTTGCCTTCCTTCCTAAATTGGAAGGGAAGGCTAGATGAAACTGAGTCTAGCGTCGAGAGCTCAACGGAGGCCGAGGCACGTGCAGACAATGTGGTGCAAGCAGACCGTCTGGTGGCAGGAGATGCCAATGGGGATGCCTACCCTCTCGTATTTCAAGTAGCCGCCGAATCTTCAGGCAATCTGGTGGAGGCTAGTCGGAGGAAGCTGGGGTCTACTGAATTGCGCAAGAGGCAGCTGAGCTGTTTGCGATGCAGATCGATTGTATGGTTGTACACGCGGTTTAAGGCGGCCTGGAAGTGGTTAGTAGGATCGTTGAGTGGTGAGCAAGTGGCCTCACGGGAGTCCTCTGCCGTCATGTGGAGGCTTCTCTGTGCTGAACACGCAGTACCATGGAGAAGGCTGCATACTCTAAGTCGGCTGGAGCGGGCCTTGAAACGGCTGGATGAAGTCAAGTCATCTGCGCGGTCTGAGCCAGTTGTGCTATGTTTGTTCTTGGGTTCGCTGTTGGCCTCTCCCTGCCGTTATATTAGTTTAAAGAGAGTTTCTTCTCCAGGCTACAGCTGCAGCTCACAAGCAGAAGATCATTGCGTTTCCACCTGTACTGCTGCCACTTGGAGCTGCGATTTGGAAAATGAAGCGTGGGAGAGGTCCGTAAGAGGCCTGGTGGCCGAAATTAAGTTGGCTGCAAAAGCAACACCAACACAGGCTCAAGGGCAAATAAACGGACCGTCTTCAGTCGGCAGCGCGTCGCCTGGCAGCGTCGGGCTCGAGGAACGTTGTGCTTTGCTTACCTGCCTTCTTTGGAAGCAGCGCGCCGCCTCTCTTGCCACATTGGCCCCAGCATCCAATATAAGACGCACTTTGCATGAGAACACGTTGGAGGATCGAGCCGACTGGGAAAGAGGAGAGTTGGTACGGGTTATACGCCGCTTGGAGCAGTTAGAGTGCACCGGTAGCGCTGTAATGCAGGCGACGCAACTGCGAAACCTGCGAGAGGAATACTTTTTTGTAGAAGCCGGTATTTTCACCAGATGTAGAGCACTTCAGCTACAGGAGTTGCTGACGGATACAAGCACCTTCGACTGCCTGAAGTTTGAGGAGGTCCAGCAGGCCAGGGCCAACGTTGAACATGAGCTTAAGGCACTAAGCAATGACGACAGCACAACGTGCTGAGGCGCGCAAATTGCTCGCTAAACGCGTACAACATTTTGCTACAGTGCGCTGAATCGTGATGATACGCGGCACGGTGCGCTTCACGGTTGGCCTTTGCCCTGCCAGAACAAAGCCACGGTTTTTTTAGAGTGAGTTTTCCAACTTTAAGTCTGCACGATGTGAATACTGGTAGTGCTCTCAGCGCACACTACTTATTTTAAGCTGATACTTGTGGCAGTGTGCGTTTACGAGTCGCGCCTCAGCTAGATTTTATGGTTACCAGAGGAAGTAGCCGGCTAGTTCCGCCGGCACCCTGTGGTGTGTAGCAGTGGGCTGAGACATGTTATCTAGAAATAACTAAAGTAAAATACTGTTTTACCTGTGTGAAGGGCCTTGGGTTCGCGTCCTGTTCATCAGTGGTCAAGGGAGAAATTATAGGAAGCTGTGATTCGAATCGCATTACCCCTTGTAATGGGTCCCTGTTTTCTCACCCTTCGTCGTGGGGATAGCTTCGGGCGTTCCTTCCACCTGGACAATAGGTGCTTTTCCACCTTCCACGTCTCCACGACGCAGAATTGTCTGCGTGGTGAAGAAGTGTGAAGTGCAGCTCAGTCTGCTTCAGGTAAGATAGGAGTTGTATGAACCCTGGAACACTGAGCAGCTAAAGATTCACCAAGGCTTTTGACATATGTTGGGGTGTTGTAATACAAAAAATAAATGGAATAGCTCACATTTTATGGACAATAGTACTGCGGGCCTGGACAGCAGCTATGAGCTCGTAGAGGCAGTACAAAAGGTGACTCCTAACCTGCCTCACTAAAGCTGCATGCACAAAGTTGCCTGCAGCATTGCTGTAGCCGTATGATGCAGTCAGAAAGGAACACTTGAGAGCTCTTTGTTTCAGTCGGGTTTTGGGCTTCAGTGTCTAGACCAGGAACCCATGACTCGCAGTACCCAAACCTTACCGAAGCTGAAGTTGAAGCTCTTGTATCTCCCCGAAAGCACTTTCTTCGCCCTACCCTCACGCACAAGGTTCCGGTCTCAGGGAAACAACGCTGGCTAGCATGAGCGTTACTGCAACCCCCCCACTTAGCATTTTTCTGCACAAACGAACTGATCGGTTTCGCGTGGAAGAAGCCGCACTCTGCTATGGGTAGGATACACGAGCAGCCAACCAATCAGCCAATGAGTTAGTGGGTAGTAGTCAATATGACTAGCGGGGAAACTTGCAAAGTGCAGCTCGGTCAGCTCTGGGTAAGATGGGAACTATATGGGCCCTGGAACACTAAACAGCTGAAGTTTTACTATTTCTTGTAGCATAAGCTGGGGTGTTGCAATACAAAGAACAAATGGAAGAGCTCATATTTTACGGACAATAGTACTGCCTTGACTTGTGTATCACGATAGTGTCTGACACGATACAATAATCGTCAGGGGGCCGAACGCGCCTTGTTCATTTATAAACACTAGGCACCATGGCTCTAGACATCCGCAAGGAGTACTGCGTTGGTGCTCAGGCGAAGGGTGGAAAGGGTCCCAGCAAAGGAAGCTGGGTCACTCAAGAGGCAGGATTTAGGGCTGGAAGGTCATAGATTAAATCTTTGATACGGTAGCACTTTTACTTGCTTAGGGGAGGCCTTTTCTGTTGGATTGTATATTGCAGTTCAAAGCTGATAAAGGAAGACGTGAGCTAAGTACTCCAGTGACTGTGTGGGGCATCAAGGAGTTCCCTACTCCCTGTGACATATCGGGTTTCCATGGTCACTCCGTAGCTGAGCATAGAATGTGGACCAAATAAATAGCATAACTTTGGACCAGTTACTCCGGTGTACTTACTTCGGCGTTTTGTGCTGCCCGCCGAGGAAGGATACATCTGGTGCTTACATCTTTGGGGCTTCTTCAGCTTACCTCGAACTTGTTGCGTTTAGGAACCATTTTAATGCATTTGAGATAATTAAATCAATTTACCTTTCTCAAGTTTGTGCATGCTTCTGCGTACAGCGGAACCTACAGTGGGTCGTCGTGCGTTTCGCTATACTCTTGAGACCCCACTGTAGCTTTTGCCGTGCTGTTGCATCGTATGTCTGATATTATTGACTCAGAAACAGTTTAGCTGTGCTAATTGGTAGTGTTTTTGATAGGAGGCTGTGGCAGTTCGTGTGTAAGGCATAGGTAGCGACTGAGTGTCTTCTATCATGCAGCTGCACGCTTGGTGTTGTGCCTAAGAATCGGCGATCGCTACCTATTCCTGCTGCTCACGAATCTAGACCCTGGACACGGAGAAAATGGCAGACGGCTGGAATGCGGAGAAGATATTTAACTCGACCATCTACGGTTTTACTTATGATGATCTGATCCTTATGCCGGGTGACGCCCCTCATATTTGCATCGGCTGAAATCTGTATAAGCATATGCATGTATCTACTCTACGCACGTGAGCAGTATACTGTGAAGCAATCTGCCTTGAGAGCATACACCACGGCAACCCGAATAGTTGTACAATGAAGAATGTCACCGCTTTTGTTTGTCCCCGCCAGGACACATCAGCTTCGGTGTGGAATCCGTTGATCTGACAAGCCGATTAACCAGAGGAATCAGCCTTCGCCTCCCCTTGGTTTCTTCTCCCATGGACACAGTCACAGAGCACAAGATGGCCATTGGCGTCGCTCTTATGGGGTGGGCAGCTGTGTCAAAGAGCAATTTTCAGTATAGAAAGCTGTACTACAAAAAGTGATCTCCTCTGTATCCCAGCTAGAGGAATGAGAGAGCCATTTGCGGGAATCGTAAATGCACATTATGCATGCATCTTTTTTTTCGCAGTGGCATTGGCATTATTCACAATAACATGGGGATTGCACAGCAAGTGGAGCAAGTGAGGAAGACCAAACGGTTTGAAAACGGCTTCATCACGGAGCCGTTTGTTCTGAAGCCAACAGACACTGTCAGCGATGTGGATTGCATCAAGAAGGTACTCAGCAACAATAATGCAGCAGCGCCTGCTAATGATGCTGCTGCTATTGACCATACTTTCATCTTCCTGCTATATCCTGTACCTAGGCATGTATCCATATCCTGCACGAGGGGCTCGTTCTTAACATACTTTCCTGCATGATGTACTGGCTTTGCTGCGTTAGCGTTGTTTCCTCTGCTGCTCTGTGGAATGCTCAGAAATACGGTTACAGCTCCGTGCCAATTACCTCCACCGGGACTCTGGGAGGGAAGCTCTTGGGAATAGTAACATCAAGGGACCTGGATTTTATAACGGACCGGCATACACAGTTAGAGGAAGTAATGACTACCGACCTTATCGTAGGTCACGAGCCTCTAGATCTGGCCCAGGCGAACGAAATAATGCGCAAATCGAAGAAGGGTAAATTACCGATTGTGAACGACCACTTCGAGCTCGTTGCTCTAGTGTCACGTCACGACTTGAAGAAGAACAGGGATTATCCCCTGGCATCAAAAGACGCGAATAAGCAATTGCTGGTTGGCGCGGCGCTCTCTACTAGGTGAGGCAGACGGCGTCAAGAGCAAAGGAGACAGACTAGAATGTGTGCAGGAGTCACGTAATAGGCGGACTGGAGATGCCCCTACGGGATACACGAATAAAGCTGTGTCTGAGAGAATCATTTTTTGTAAATCGCCCCACTTGCAGAGCTCGCATAGCGCATTTACGCATGTACCAGCCATAGCGCACAAAAGAAAGGACCGATTAACAGGCTGGAAGACGTGCTGATGGTGTGCTTATTTGCTTAGACCAGGAGAACTTGAAAGGGCAAAGGCATTATTGCAGGTTGGTGCAGATGTTTTGGTCATCGACAGCAGTCAGGGTGACTCCATCTTCCAAACGGACCTCATAAAGCAGCTCAAGTCCGCATGCCCAGAGACACAGGTGAGCTAGTAAGCTAGCTAGCTGGATGCCTGGCGGGAAGGCTACCCTTCTGTTCATTTCAAGGGATTGGAATTTTTGTGACGAATAACATTTAAGCCAATGAACATGCGCCACTGGCTTTTAATACAACAATCACACTGTTTTGGTTAGAAAGAGCTGGAAAGGGGTTATGTCTTCGCGAGTCAGCACTTTTTCGTTTTTACTAATGTACAAAGGCAAAGTCCGCATACATTTCAGATAGCAGCTTCCTATTCAGTTGACAAGACTGAGATTGTAGGGTCACAAGAGGACTAGCAGGCCCTGGGATGCTCAATTACGTGTAATTCATGGTTACATGTTTGTTAACTTGTGGTTATGGCCGGGTGGAACGCTGCAGGTTATTGGGGGAAATGTCGTTACAGCGCGACAAGCCAAAGCCCTGATTGACGCTGGGGTTGACGCTTTGCGTATCGGCATGGGAAGCGGATCCATTTGCACTACTCAAGTAAACAGTCACGTACTAGGTGCTATTTATTGATGCAGGGTGCAGACTGCGTTTCGCCTTGGACCGGCTGTCATACTGCATGGATTACCTCCTCTGTGTTTGGGTCTCCTTCGCAGGTCGTTTGTGCAGTGGGGCGGGCCCAGGCAACAGCTGTGTATCATGTGAGCAAGTACGCGAAGGAAGTTGCGGACATTCCTTGCATTGCTGACGGCGGTATCCAGAATTCAGGGCATGTCGTGAAGGTAAGCTGCTTAGTCAGTTCCCGTTGTTGATCGCGCTGGATGTTGTAAAATAGGGAGCAGTGATCCCTGTTTCTGTGTGCAGCTCCCCACCCTGACCCACAGAACAAATCGTGTCTATAATCTGCCACCTAGGGGTTCATGAGGCTAAGTTTTTCTAGTGGCTGTGTGCAGGCACTAGCCATGGGTGCCAGCACAGTGATGGCTGGCTCTCTCTTAGCGGCTACCGAGGAGGCCCCAGGAGCATATTACTTTCATAATGGATCACGCGTCAAGAGCTACCGGGGCATGGGTAGTCTGGAGGCGATGCGTGCAGCGTCGGCCGTAGGGCAGCAGGCTATAGTCGACGGCACAACCTCAGCCAGCCAGCATGACAGCGGTTCTGCAGCTCGTTACTTCGCGGAAGGCCAGAAGGTTTGTGTCGCTCAGGGAGTAACAGGCTGCTTGGTGGATAAGGGGTCCATACGCAACCTTATCCCTTATGTCATGCAAGGAGTAAAGCATGGCCTCCAGGATGCAGGCGTGCAAAACATTCGGGAGCTTCATAAACAATTATACTCTGGGCAGATCCGCTTCGATGTCCGGTGAGGAAGCCACATTGAAGACCCTGCTTGTGGTAGTTTACCTCTTTGTAGGGCTATGCCGGGTTTAAACAGGGGTGGAGGACGATGGAGGGCGTTCTGAATGCCCGTGTCTCCTGCCACCAAGAGTACTACTGCATTTTGTCTAGTGCAGATTTTCTCAGACAGTATCTCTACGCATCTCAGTCTATATTGTTACATCTTTGTTGCTACGTTACCTGCATTTCTTCATATTTTTGTGCCTATGCCTGTGTGGTGGGACTTCGCAGTTCCGCGGCTGCACAGAAGGAGGGAAATGTTCATAACCTAACTGTTTTAGACGGAGGCGCAGCTACAACCAGCTAAGTACCTTATGGCTACCCTTTTCACCTAAGCCATCCATTTGCACGCTCTTCAAGCTTTCCGGTTGTTCAGTGCCATTACGGGAGTGCGATGGCTTATGAAGAGGGCCCACCTGAAGACGCGGGCCTGGCCTCCTTGGGCTCTCCTTTCCTCCGCTCTATCTGAAGCGTGAGAGCCGTCTACTGTAAGATCTACAAATAGGATGGCAAGCTTTTCGTACCTTACCAACTGCGGGTCACAAGGTGGAATGACTACCGTGGGTAGCAGAAAATGGTGGTCGTTCAGTTGGCGGTTGTGACCCGCCATTTGTGAATGAATGTTTTGGCTAATCGATATGGATTGACTACTCCTGTATACCTTTCAAATACAAAAGTTGTGTGGAAGTCTGAGAGGGAGCCGGATGTAGAGCAGCTGGCTAAGCCGCGGGCCTCTTAAGGGCGACTCAGCCAGGTATGCGGAAGTGAGGCCTCTTGTGCTATCAGCTGCTGGCTGTACGGTTCCATGTATGGTGTACGTGGACCTTTCAGTTTGGCTTCGTAGAGCCCTAAGCTGGACCCTGGGGAACTAAGATAATGTCCCTGTATTCAAATGTTCTGGAATGGGGTCAAACATGCCTGCGTAGAAGGATCAAGGGAAGCCTTGGGCGCTAATGCGTCAGCCCACTTGTCTGAGCTTGTGTTTATCCTTGTGCACACGCCTTGCGAAATCCGCGGGCTTGCTCAACGTATAAAGGTGTGCCTCGCAAATTCCGTCACTGCCTGCTGTCGCTGTGCATGATTCTTGCATCCCTGAACAAGTTGCGCACCTTGAAGTACGGCGCAGCAATCTTCTTTGTCACTATTTTGTCTTCAATCATTCGCATTTCAACTCTTTGCCGTCTTCCTGTTCATAATTCTTCCGTCCGTCCTCCCCATTCCGAGATTTCTCAGCATGTTGTTCACTGCGTCAGGTTGCCTTACGCTGATGCTGGATGTATGCTTTCTCTCGTAGCTAGTGGCAATGACATTCGGCATGATGTTGCTCTATTTCATACTGTAGCGGGCTATGCTGCACTCCAGCATTTTGTGCTACACTAGATATAGTTATGTAAAACCTACTTTGGAATTGACTACCTAGTGGCTGCTCGTACACATTTACTCCGGATTAGTGTCAGCTCGCTAAACGGCGCAATATGGCGTGTGTGCATTAATTGCTATGTGCAACTAGCTGTGAATGCTCGGAGTGCTTGCGCCCACCCTAGTTGTCTCGCCTGTCAGAATGGGGAAGAGCAGGGCCTGGGAAAGACAGAGCTGTTCTGGAAAAATATTTAAAAACTCGTTGATAAGCTCGTATTGAGCAAGCAGAAACGCATGTTGACATGCAGCTTTCTACCGTCATCCAATGGCTGTGGATATAGGGTCATGTTTCCCAACGACAGCTATAGGGCTTCTATCAAGTTCTTCGGTTATGTGACTTTTTTCTTATATCGTACGGCAGGAAAAATTCTTCGGCGTTGTAAGTTGAAGGAGATGGAAAGCCCTTTGAGGAAGCACAGGCCAACTCGCAAAGTGTTGCGAACGCACTAGCCCCACAGTGGGTGAAAAGGCATGAATTGTCAGCCAACAAACTGTTTATGGGCGTGATGAGATTATGCTGCCTGAAAGTGTATGACGGCCTTAAAGACGGGCAAGTAATCGAAGATTTCAAAAGCCGGTTAGAGGTTGATATTGCCTTTTTTCACTAGATGAGAGAAGACTGCTCCTTGTGGCATGTGTGCATGGAGATGCCCTGATTCAACGGTTTATGCTGACGTCGCCTCAACACGGAGGTTTGTCGCAGGGCCTTGATAGAGTATAAAATAAGGAGTTAGTCAATTGATCCACATATCGAGAAATAAGACTTTTTGGACAGCAAAACCAAAACGCACGAAATATTGCGTAATCGGTGATGGATCTCACGTCTACTCAAAGTGTCATGTCAGGTGGTCATACGTTGGGCAGCAGCTCAGTGACTCAACAGCTTGATGCTAAGGCTTTTACAAATGAGAAACTAATTGAGGTTTCTGGAGGATGTGGGAGATCTTAGGGGTATGGTGTTGACTGCTCTATTCACAAAATTCTAGGGATTGGCTTAAGCAGGCTCGGCTCCTACCTCGCAGGAATCCATCTTGCAACCATTCTACCAGCTTATTTTTAGCAGCGAGCTAGAATTTCTTCTGCGAAAAGGCAACAAAATGAAATTCCATCCGCTGCGCCTCAACAGTGTGACGCCCCATCTAAACGCTTTGCAAAAAAGCACCTAGCTCGAGATTCAGTACGAACTTATTAGAATAGTAGCAAGTGTTTTTTCAAAGAAGCCCCCTTCCTTCCTCGCTCGCGGCTCTCAGAGTTCTTGACATGAGGGGAAAGGGACAGCTAGGGTGCGTGTTGTTGGACATTTCGGGCACTTCGAGCGTTCGCAGCTAGTAACACATGGCATTTAACGCACACGCACACGACGTAGCGTATTCTACCATTTATCTGAAGACTAGTATGCAGTGAATAAGATATGCTAGTGTGAAACACCAATTAGTCATTTCTGTTTTGCCCCCTAGTTAGATGTAACTTGGGTAGTAGAAAGTACTTGTGTAGCGGAGCCCGGAAAAAGTTAGGACCGGACACTTAAATAATCAAGAAGTTTGAAGTAACGCGCTCCCTTAAAAACGATAAGCTCTCTTGCTCTTCCTTCGTTGTAAACCTATAATCATGAGGGCCGGTAGAACGCCGGTAATTGAGGGTGTCCCTTGATGCCGCTGGCAACATGCCAGCCGTACTCTCTGAGCTGCTTACACAGCTACCAAACTATTGTGCCAAAAGATGTGTGCGGGCAGACACAGTGGAAAGGTATCTGAAGTGTTAGAGTGAATTGAACAAGTTCGTAAAGCCAAGTGGGTGCCAAGCAACTAAGGGATCATGAGGTGCAGTCCAGGATATTGGTTGCAAAAACTCTAAGGGCGTTGGAGTATGCGCCCTCTCAAGGCTACGACAGCTCCAGGCCATCACAAAACCCATGGTGTACAGACGTTGAAGCATGCTCTGAATATCTATCAGTTGCTGAAATTCTACATAATGCTCACTCGTGGGGACCACTGGAAACAGAAGGGAAAAGAATGTTCACTTCTGCACTTGCAGACAACGAGATGCCGAAAGACAATGTGAAAACAGCCTTTCACCCCTACAGTGCAAGAACAGCATCAGGAACAACCAACTAAGGAATGGGCATCAGCGTGCGGAACACCTGCTGACTCGCTGCAGCATGCAGGACTTTTACCGCCCTTAACGTTAGAGACTTTTGATTTATTATGTGCATGCACGAAGGAGACTGCCTTCAAAAATAAATATAATCAAAAAGCCATTTTCCGCATGCAAGATAAGATGCAGCCGCAGCCCTTTAAACTTAGGCTCTTGGCTGGAGGGCCCCAAGTCACACAGGCAGTCTTTCATGATCGGTGAACCAAAAGGAAACCTTAAATGAATGAATTAATGGGACACATATAGCTGACTGCGTTGAAGGTGGAGGGCGCATGCAGTAGGTAAAGCTCCCATTCGAGCCCTGGCGTGCATTACCTTCGAGCATATTGCTTTTGGCATCCCCCATCATAGATTTAATGAATGTGACCTATTATTCAAGACCGAGAAATGAGGGATAGGAAGCTTCAGAAGAAGAGAAAGAGCCAGGGGACGTCTGTGATCCCCCAAGACTCGCGTGGAGGTGCTGCTAGTAGCAGTTGTCTTTCAGAAGCCGAAACGTCAGCTGGCAGTGACTTGGACAAGGGACCTGTGTGCGTACCTGCTAGAGCATCATCTTTTGTGGTGTACACCACAAGGAATTACATCGCTAGCACTATTTACCATGCGTACATTGCATTTCTCCCCGCTCTACTTCTCCCCATATTGAACAACAGCCCAGCTATCAGTAGGTGGAGCGCCAACTCTGTTACGCTGCTCACAGTATTTATAGCAAACTCCTCGTGGCTGGAGCTTTTTGGCTGGAGCTGCACGGGGGATGCTTGTGCAGCTTTCATCTCCCTGACTCAAGAGAAGCAATTTCATAAAATTGGGGCCACCCACCACACCGGCACAACAAAATGTGAGACAAAGCAGCATGAGAGCTCGGACACATTTTTGCGGGGCTGAATCTTCCTCCTAGGTACTAGGTTGCCGGAGACACGCAGATGTAAGCATTTTTGCGCTTTTAGTGAGTGGCTTATTGAGTCTGGGATGCGTGTGAATAGACCTGTTGTTCAGGGCGGTGTCTACTTGGCGGTTTCTCTGGCTTCCTGGGTGCACTGACAGTTGGATTGATGACGGCATTTTTTAGTCCTTTAAACCCTTTTGGATCCGTGCGGCCTCTTTCTCAAGAGTTATTTCTCCGCATACAGAAACAAGCCGCAGAGTCAGGTTCTGCTGCTACAGAGGCGTCCCTTCTGGCAGACACTTTAAGCATCTTATTGACAGAAGAACAGAGAAACGTCGTTGCATCCCTTCTTCAAGCAGCAGCAGTTGCGACAGTGGGGCAGTGTCCCAAGTTTCTGATGCCACTACTATACGGAATGCAAGATACTCTACTCTCCGTGCAACCCTGGGCAGTTCTAAGGGCTACCAGTCTTTTATTTGACATTTTTTTGGCCGAGTTCTTTTGCTGTTTTACATTCCACTTGGTCACAGCTGTTGTTACCACTGCTGGGTTTTTCTTTGACCTCAAACACGCGGAGAGAATCAAGCTAATGGTGTTGCTAGTTGCAGCTGCTGCCGGGCTCCCCTTCTGCGCGGTCGTTGGTAAGCTTTGTCCGTCTGTTAGGCAGTTGAATGTGCTGCTGCATTTGCTGCCTATGCTTTCCTCAATAGGCAGTAGATTATAGAGAAAATAGCACTGCAGCCATGCTCGGTGTAGCAATGTAGCTGTAGTGAAGAGCAAGAAATTTTAAAGTGAGGAACAGGGAGACCAGGATCAATAGCTCAACAAACGGGGGAAGGAAAATACGGCAGGCAGAGATCGGATGAAAAACAGCATGCTCAAATCTGTTACCGCTTGCTAGTATGTGTTGCGCCACTTCGCTGCTTCTCAGGTGGCCCCATGTTGGGGGTGTCTTATGCCGCATTAGTTGCCGGGGCTCGCTTGGATCCTTGGTGTTTCGCTTTAGCTGGCTCAGCCGATTGGCTGGCGGCGTTGTGCGCCACTCGTCTGGTGCAGCCATTGCCTCTTGTGCTCTCCGAAGTGCGAGCTAGAGAGCGGTGTTCAAAGAAAAAGGCTCATTAAAGAGTCCAATGACGAATTTCCTTCTGGATAGTGTCTTACATGACACAGTAGAGCGTAGAAACTTACCTGCCGTTCACGGGCTAGGCAGCATGACTCCCGATAGACCCATTTGCCGTTGCTGAACCTAAAGAGTTCTTCTGGGGGCCCCAGATGCCCCCTCTAGAGAACCCGAGGTGCAAGCATGGATGCTGCAGCGTACAGACGCGAAAAGCATTTAGGCAAGTACATTCCGCATGTGCAAGCTTGACTCGAGTTTTTTTCCTAGATCTGATTTCGCATTGCAGTGCACGTCTCCATGCCAATAACGATGAAACAACTACCTTAAAGGCTCGGTGCACAGAGGCTTCGTTGTGCGGACAACACTGTTCATGTATTTACACCTGCGCAATTTGTTGGGAAATGGGAGAAATTCTAATTTCACCTCTTGCCCCTTGATGTGCACTGCCCGGTGGGTTCCACCAGCTGTGCATGAGCACACTACTGTCCAGAGTTGAGGTTGGGGCCGGCTCTGTCTGCCGAGCATCGATTTGTAAGTTTCTTTGGAGGGGCTCATGTATTTGCAGACACCGCAGCTTGAGGGAGATAACGCTAATGTCTTCCTGAGAGCCAGATCAAGAGGCACTGCAGACTGTTGCTGTCGTATGGTGAATTAGCGGGAGGTTACAAAGGTGGAGGACGAACGCAGGAAACGCGCGCGGTCGTATATGACTGAAAGTAAAAATTACGTAAAGCGCGTTGAAAAATCAGTTACACGCCACAGAACGGGGCGGGACTTCGTAGTTTGCGAACAATTAAAGTGCGCCTTTTGGAGAACTTGATCAGCACTTTCTACTAGGATAGGCACCTAGCCCTCTAGCGCACGCGTCTGACGGCTCTTGGGCCGGGGACGCCTGTGTATTTTGGGGTACTGCCACGGCGCCCTGACACTTGGTCAGCTACTACGGAGTGACAGCGTCGCTGGGCAGTGCGTGGACCTATCCTGTGGCTGTCAGTGTTTGTGGGTAAGGCAGAGGGATCCTCATCATAAGGTTCGTCCCAGTCAGTAGTGTGGCCAACCCCACGAAGTAGGAGCTCTGCCTCGTGGCTTAGCCGTCGCCGACGGGCTGATTCTCTTCGCTGCTGAGCAATATTTTCCCTTGTAAGCGGTTTTCCCTCTGGAGGTACTTCTTCCCATGTGTACTGCGAACATGGCTCAGACACTTGCAGTGCGGCAAATGCTCCCGCATTCGCATTGTGTGATAATTTAGTTATATCAGGCATGCACTGGCAGAATTTCATGGTCACAGGACAACTCTGGCCTATCCCTCCTAGAACTTCGCAACCACAGGCATTTCAAAGGATGTGTTTTCCGCTGATCAATTGCGCTATTTCCAACTTGAGGACAATGTCTACAGGGCTCTCTTACTGGCTTTGGTCCGGTATGTATACCTTGGTACACCCATGTTGCCTTGGCTTTGTCCTTGACATTTTCGAGCTTCCAGTATTCTGTGATCCTGACGTCTGTCTCCGGGAAAAGCACAGGCATAAATCTGTTTCCAACTTCCTTCTTAAACAACTGGGGCAGCCTACTCGCTACGTCGCTGGGGAGAAGCGGTAAAAGTTCGCAAGCACTACCACGAGCTACCCCAGGACTTCTTTTTTCCGCCTCATCGCTGCTGGACTCTGTGTCCTCATCTCGGGCCGAAAAACGTGACTGATGATCTTTTCGGGGTTCGCGTTGGCGGCCCCTGTCCCACTTCGGCCTCTCCACACGCACACAGTTCTTCTCCAAATATTTTGCAACAGGACTGGGAATTCGCATGTTGTTGTTCTCAGTCGGCGACTTGGGGTAGCTAGCCGGCACCGAGCCCCGCGTGATGTTCACAGGAGGCAGTGCGACACACTCATACTGGGAACAAGGCAGCGGACACCGAGTTGCCCAGTAGGCCTGTTCCCTTCCCTTCGCGATTTGCTCTGCAGTCATAGAAGACCCCTTAGGGGGTGAGAGGATTCGTGGGAGTTCCACAGGGTGCTGCAGCCCGTTCGGGTGGGCAGAAGTCTCGTATGGTAAGACGGACGCAGCAGAAGCGGACCCCGCGAGCACCGCACTTGGTTCTGCTTCGCCTGGTGGGCTACTGGGCGTTGGGGAGGTGACAAGACCACTGGAAGGGAAAGCCTTTATAGGGCGGGGTGGCTCGAAGGGGAGCTGTAGGACTTGTGGCCGGCCAATCAGGGGTTCTACATGTTGCACACAGTGAAGAAGGGTACAGCAGGGTAAGTCGTCCAAAAAGGGAAGGCGCTGCTTGGTGTCCCAGTAACGGCGTGCAAAGACTCCCACTATCCGGTAAGGGTTCCTCTCCTCTGTGACGAGACTGTCTCCAAAAACATCGACTGCTGATGGTCCAAACCAAGGACGAGTGTGAGGAGTAGAGGACTCCCTCTGAGCCTCAGTGATTTCAGGTTGCTGCTGGCCCTTTGGGGACCACTTAGACGGCCGCAGCATGCGCTTCGCAAGGCTGTCTGAAAGCGGGATAACACATGGAAGCAAAATTCAGAGGAATCAGTGCACGGCTTAGGCAGAGGATAGGTCGGCAAGGTCTCACACCCACAAAACAGTGCGGATAATCGGATGGAGGTTCTTCAAAAACATGAACACACAAAGCACACTAGTATGGGTGATAGGGCCCACCAGGGGCCTTCACACATGATCCAGGCTAATCATGCCACTTTACGAAAGCATTCAGGCATAAGAAGCTCTGTTTGTGTCTAGAGTGACAGAAGAAGACAGTGACCGTACGAAGGGACACTCAACGATATGCAATGCTAAGACTCATATCCCAGGACACACGCAAGACGGCTTATCGAAGTGCACAGCAGCATTCACCAAAACAGCACACTCTTCAGGTGCATCAGAACTGACCACCGGTATCAATCGTCCATTTGCTACCAACAAGCGAATTCAGAATGCCTAAACACCTCCTGCGAAAAGTATCCTTAACTTCATCCAATTGTCTGTGAAACCCCTTGACTTCGCCCTCCACATCATCCATGGCGGAGGTCTGGGTCTCATGCCAAGCCATTCGATCAGCTTTCATTGCCGCTATACTCCGGCTAGCTGCAAGCATCGCGCGTGCTTGAAAAGCCTGGTCCCCACTTTCTGTGCCTTGCAGATCAGCGGCCTGTAGTGCATCTCCAGCAGCTGCTGTATTTTTGAACCTTACATCCTTGGAAACCTCGTTCGAAGCGACCACAGAACTGTCTTCGAACGAAAACAGGGAGGTTTGAGTGCCCCCCTTCTCCGTCAGCTCATCTACAAAGGAAACTCCCTTGGGCTTCAAACCAGAAGTAATGGAAGTAATGGACCCGTGAGAACTCGAAGAGCCTCTCTGACTGGTAATATCCCTCGGCTCACAAAAGCTGACCGCTCCTGCAGACCTCTGTTTGTTTGCTAAAGCGCCGCGTCGAGATCTACTAGCAACGTAGCCATAGCTAGTCCCCAGGCCAGAACCGGGCCTACCAATTGGGAGTTGTGAGCGAGAAGGACAGCTTTTGGATGCGAGCCTGGCAAACTTAGAACTTCTGCGGCGGATATGAGAGGCTTCGGGGATAGAGCCTCTCCTGGCCTCTTCTAGAGCTTCGGGCTCCTCGCCAGAATCGGAAGAGACTGAGAGGGAGCGAGATGGTTTTGGGCTGGTGCACACCCCTCCATTTTTAGCTTCCTGACTTCTGCGCATCTTCAGTAGTGGAGGCTGCAACAGCCATGGGTAAGATATATAAATAAGCGGTTCTCAGTTATTCCCCTTAGCCTGGAGCAGCTGAGGAAGGTCCTCCACCGTGGACGGCAGGGCACCACTCCCTTGAATTTTCTCCGATACAGAAGAGCCAGAAGCAATCCACATCAGATCTTTCTCCAGCTTTAAGACTTAACAGTAAGCTTTCAATGTAAACGACCCGTGCTCTCGACTGAAATTTCCGGGCGTCTCTGGCTCATTTCAAAGAGAAATCCCACGCCGGGCGAGCAAGGCTGACGGGTTGAACATAAGCAGGAAACAGTGAACACCTCCAGTGGGCACAGATAGCGGGCTTAATGCGTCTCGGAAAAGCCGTATGGTCGCATGGGATAGAGAGTGGGGTTCACTCCCCCTGCAAATGCGTCCCTTGAACTCTGCCCCTGAGGCGCGGGAAGCCGAATGTAAGGCAATGCAGCAGCAAAGGCCGCAGAATCAGCTGATACGAATAAGAGGCACCTATTCAGCGCAATCAAGCTGACATGTGCAAGTGTGCAGCACCGATTTTTGAGGCTTTGATACAGGCTGCGACTAGTCCCTGCAGGTTTGGAAAAGGGCAGAGAGAGCTTGCCCCGTCGGTTCGGAGGCATCGGGAAAGAGCCAAGAGATCGGAAAACGTAGCAGGACGAAAAAATAAGATCTTGCTCTTTCCTGTGCTGATCGAGCAGGGCCCCCGATTTCCTCGCGGCTGCTGCCTGGTTGCCAAAGTCATTAGAAGGGCCCGCTATACTGTGCTACATAGCTGCAGCCATTTCTCCTGATAGACATTAAATTACAGCAAGATGAGTGATTCGGCTTTCACGGAGGAGACTCTTATGAGGGAAAGTCTTCGCATGCCAGGGGAGGCCGATATATCCTTCGCCTCAAGTGGCTTGCTGACACCTGTGTTGTAGGTACAACACTGGTCCTGCTTGTACTACTTTGCTGTTTGCAGTCTTCTCCAATAGGTTGAAAACATTTAAACTTTATTTGGTGGAAAACTTGGCCCTGGATCAGGTAGGGAGAGGAATTTTGGGCGAATACAATCAATGCACGCTCTGGTCAATCAGACGGAAGACCATGCTTGTTCTTAAAACCCCTAAGGCTCCTTACGAGTAGCACATAAATACACCAGGGATTGTGTCGGTAGGTGCTTGCTCTTGGGGCTAAGCTAGGACTCGCTGCAATGCCCCAGATGTGTAGGTGCTCTGAAAAGGATCCATGCGGTAATATGGATTTGCAATGTGGGGTTTAAAGAAGAGAGTGTGTGGCTTGCATGTATCCAGTATACCACACCCAACACAGGAACACAGGATCTATTTGTAGCTAGTACATACATGATACGGATTGACTTCTGGGTAGGTTATCACCGAGGCGTGTTCTTTGAGAAGGGCTAGCTTCCCACTATGAAGAACCAAATCTTTTGTTTGTGCTTGCTTTGTGGTACTGAGGACATTTGTGCCAAGGGTTAAGAGGTTTTAAATTAGGGAGCCCATTGAAGTGCTGGTGAGTCGTATGGCACGTGAATAAAAATTTCCAAGTTTGGACTCTACTCCTGCTTGAGAGTCCACCTCAAAATACAGAAAGGAGCAATAGACTTTCGACGCCTAACGTGAATGGAATAGTGCAGCCAGACGCGTTTTCGACACTTGGCAGCTCTGTGGGCTCCTGTGTTGGCTTTGCGGTGTTTCAGTGCCTTGCCTTCGCATGTTACCACTATTCCGTCACAGCGAAGGTACTGCAAACTTGAGCCGCAAATTCCAGAATTGAAATAGGGCCTAAGTCTGAATAGGCACTAGCACCACACCAACTTCGCGCAGCCACACACTTTGTTTCCTTGGTCGACGGTGGGCTGTACAGCCACAACGACCCTCACGTAGTAATTCACCACGCCCCATAGATGCCCGCCTTGCCAGTGTCTGATTTGACCTTACATGTGTATAAAGGTATTACTGTAGAATGAATTTTGGGCAAGACTGTCCTTCAACGACGATGCGACTAGCGTAAATGTGGGCTGCTGAGGCTTTGAAGGTGATCGTAGATTGAAGGAACTGGTAGCAAATGGCAATTACAGGATATATTGTGCTCTGGGATGCTACTTTTATTCTTTGAAGAATATTTGGTGAACGACAGAGGGCAGCGTGCCACATCTGGAAGAACTTCGTGGATGCAAATATGATACGCATACGAGCTCGGAGAGCAGTCTTCGGGTAGGTGATTTTCATTTCATCTTAATGAAGCAAGGCTACTGAGCTTAGATCATAAGGGCTTAAAAAAATGATGGCCACACGGCCTGGGTTCTGCCTGCAGTGAATAAGGAAGCCAGCAGCAGCGGAAGACCCCCCACTGCGCTGTTTGCGACAGCCCCTAGATGCATATTGATATCTGATCTTAGTGCAGTGTGTTGAGAGAACAGCATCAGCGCGTGCTGCTTATTTTGCGCTTGAAGATGCATACCCCGTTTTGCAATGGTGTCAAGGCGACTGGACGGAAAAAATGTGTGCCTTGAAGACCTTGGTGTGCCCTGATGGTGATGCCAATCTACTACTAAGGACAAACACACGAAGTGGCCTTCCTCTTTTCTGAGTTTGCCTGTGCAGATTGCCGATTCTCAAACTGCTGCACACCGAAAGTGTCTCAGAGAGAAGCTACCCAGACATGGAGCACCCACATGTCTTGTTTCACTGTGAACAGCTGTGCCGACAATTTAAGTAGGGGCCGACTTGAACTACAATGGCGCGTGCAAGGGACTCCTGCTTAGTAGTATCTAGCTATAGGAGGCTCCTTTTCAGCTTATTTATACGCGTATGCTTCCTTCTATGCAGCAGAAGGTCAGAATTGAGAAGCCGAGCAGCACAAACGTGCTTTGGTCGTTAGGGGTAGCGACCAAGCCAGGAAGGCTCTAAAAACCAAGCATTCAGAGGTTGTGATCATACGGCAAAATGGAAGCACTAAATCACAGTGCAGAAGCCTCAGTCGCAGTATCGCGTTTGTGTCCCGAAACACGCCTGTTCCCGTGTTTCTAATGACTTGCAAATACATACCAGACATATTAGCTGTTTCTCACATCAGTACTATCACGATTTTTCCTGCGAAGGTCGCCTGTCTATTTCAGTGTGAGTATTCCAAAGATAGTATAGCTGCGACTGGCAGGCGACCACAAACGGACGCTGCAGCAGTCAGTCATACAGATGCAGGTGGTCAGGAAGACTGCGTGATGCAGCATGCAGACCTCTCCAACAGACTAAGCTAGATGAAGAACTGAGGCTAACCCGTACTACAGAAAGCTAGTTAAGCGGGGGCTCGTACCCATTGCCGTCCATCAACCCCACACATGCTTCCCCAGATGCTGCTGCCATTGAGGCGTGTGTTGAGATCTTGAGGGCTTGTGTAATTCGGCGTGAAACAGCCTGCACATTACAAAGGTGCCAAGGTGGGAACCGAGGCTTCGAGTTACTGCCTACAGCTGCAGCGCGGGAAGCTTTAGGCGCGCACATCTAGGTGAACTAAGCGAAGCGCGATTCTTTCGCTTTTTTCACGCCCTTGGACCCACAGACTGCCTTACTTTGTCTATGGAGAGCCGCAAGAAGCTTGCAAGGAGTTTTCGTGTTGTCGATGACAAGGCCAAGTATGCACCGGGCACTGTAGAGGGGTTTTGCTGCTCAATGCATTGTAGCAGTGGCAGCCGTTCGTCTCCTTCAGCGGCAAAAAGGCCAGCAAATATGGGGAACGTCAAACTGAAGAGATAAATAGAGAGCTTAGCCAAATCAGGACACATTCGCTGTCATTGAGGCTCTGGATTGCACTGCGAATGTGCGCAGAATGCAGCTGCAGCTCCTTATAATAGTGATTCTGGTCCAGTGGCAGCAATTGCCGTTGCTGTTAAGGTGCCACTGGATGACCCACCAATTAAGATGTGCGGGACAGTAGTACCAAATAAAGCACTCTGCTTCGCGCGGGGAGCAACGAATGCCAAGTCTCTTTAACCCCTCCTGCACCCGGTCGACTTGAGATACCCCTAGACCTTGCGGATCGAAAACCCGCCAGATGTCCACCAAAGAGAAATCCGGCCTGCACAATATTTCATTTTTAAAGCGAGCATACAATGCATGGGAGGCACTCTGGCGAGGGAAAAGAGGATAGGAAGAACTGGCATACACCAGGCTAACGTCTCCCTGCAAGGGTAGGTAAGTGGAGGGTACGTGTACTATATCAGGGGGAAAGGCGGGTATCAGGCATTCCATGTAATTTGATTGCAGTGCATTAGGGTTCCTTCGCTTTTGAAGGCCACTTGACAGCCCTAGTGAAAAGGCCTTAATCAAGACATCTGCACTTCAGATTACACGCTATCCTGTCCGTGAGTTTGCCACTGCTTGCTACAATCGGTTTGCGATGCGACGAATCAGGAAGCCCCTTTGACTTTTCGGTGCTTTTTACGCTCAGGGGAAGGGTTTCTTAAGTGTGCTGGTTTGTAAGTTGTAGCTAAAATCCCTAGGAGGCTATGCGCAGACTCTTGAGGATGCATGAATGTAGGGAGGAGGCCCGTCGCAGTGCACTCGTTAAACAGATGCCACAGCAATGCGAAGCAGGCGGCAATGTGAGTAAATTAAGGTGCACGCATGAAAATACGTTAAGCTACAAGAGAGGTGAACATCTGCGTGGCATGCAAAGACAGCTTGCGTGTGCAACATGCATTCACTACGGATGAGTGTGTGCCTGTCGTGCCTTTTACTGAGGCTTTGGAGACTGACGAGCCGTTGCATCTCTTTGGTACCTTGAGCTTCAGGAGACCATCCCTGAAGCCACTCCATTTTTTTCGAGCAGGCGTAGGGAACAGGGAGGGCTGACGCCGGCGACAAAGGGCGAGAAAGTTGTAGAGAGGGTGCATCAACTGGTCCTGGGAGAGACCGGACAAGTTCTTGAGAGCTGCGCATACACTCCAAAGGGCAAGCAGCCCGATTCGTAGC